CGAAAGCAAACTGTTTCGTGGGGGTCTAGGCTCAGAAGCCGCAAAGCCCCCAGACTGTCAGCGTGCTCCGGCTGCAGGTCACCTTCGATGGCGTTGCAAAGCGGACTCGAATCTGCCAGGACCACAAGTGAATGAGTCTGGAGTGCTGGCATGTATAGTGATGCAGGACAACACCGACGTTAGTTTGCATTCCGAAAGGCAAGGCCCGCAAAGCTTTAACGTTGCAAACGCCGACAAGCCTTTGACTTCCTGAAGTCTTTGACTTCCCAGCCCTCAGGACGACGTTTCGCCGAGCTTCAACGACGACTTAATCTTTGAGCTCGCTTTGGCGAAGACCGGACAAGGCACGACTGCAGCCTGGACTGCCAAGCCACAGCAGAGAAACCAACGCTGCACCACGTCAACTCGGAGTCGGAAGCATGAACCGCAGAAAAATCGTTTGATTCAGCTGTCTCCGGCAGGTGCATCTCTGCAAGAGGACAACGAAGCAACATGGGAGGAGCCTTCGAAGAGTTTTTAAACGGCAAACACAAACGCCATTCAAGTCCAAACAATGTCGGTTCTTCAGTTCCGGTTTCCCCTCAACTCACACCCCGAAGCTGTAAACATGCTTTTGGAAGGATGCTTGATCGCAACTTCTAGCTAGCCTCTAGAGGAGCTGCACTGGGCTTTGGAGGTTTCTGTTGGTGGATCTACTTAGCAATTCTGGCTTCAGAGCTTTCGGTGCTTTGAGGTCTTAGATTTTCAAGGTTTCCGGCAGGAAGCCAGGTGCTAAACCACCACTTAACCACCGCACAATAATCTAGTGTCGGTGAAGCGCCTTGGCGAAACCCGGGAGACTGTTCGTCGCGTGCTGTGTGTGTGTGTGTGTGGGGAGATTGGAGTTTGACGCTCGTTGGCATCTGCACCTCTTCCCGAACATGTGCATGTGCCGAAAGATCTGTGTACCTTGCGGCAAACTTTCACACATGTTGTGCAAGCCAGTTCCTCCAGTACTTTACCGTTAGTTGTTCTGACGGTTCTGCCCATTTAGCTTTACTGTGACCAGGTGTTGTGCCACACTTTTTTGTTTTTTCCACACCCCAGTGTGTGCATGCCTGCAACCCCACAAAGGGCATGTTGGGTGCATGGATTCTTCGGTCCTCTCCAAGCTTTAGGCTTTAGACGTGCTTTGGAGCTTGGGGTTTGGGGATTCGGGGCTTAGACTTTTATTCCAAAGAGTCCGGATGCAGTCTAAGTCGTACATGCGCCTGGTCTCAGCTGCGATTTCCACCCCTAAAACCCCAATTCCTGCTCGTATATAGTAATATAGGCACGGATGAGGCTGCATCTGTATGAATGATATGTGTACATAAAGCTATGTACCCACATACATACGTGTGTTCACATATGTGTGTATATCGATACACATATATGCGCACATGTCTGTACAGTATATCAGTGTATGAACATATACAGACACATCGTCGTGCGAATCAACGCCGAGGAGTTGGAGCGGAAGGGGCCTGTCTTCATCGACCTTTGGACTGTAGGCCGCCTTGGGGCGTAACCAGCTTTGAGAATTAAAGCGAAGCTGTTACTGCATGCAGAGAAAGCAGTAGCGCCACGACAAAAAACGAACGACACTGAGAAGAGTGGTATCCAGCGCCTCAACAGCAGCAATCAATGACAAGAGTCCCAACATGTCCCAACAAAACCAGAGAGGAAGCACGTAACTACCTCCGACGACGGGCATCGCTTCCGACAGTGCTTCCGATGCCTGCAATGTTTCCACCGGTTGAAATCATGATTCCCTGCGTCTTTCCACATGAACGCAGGATGATATCAACCGACCCCTCATGGCAGTTGTTTTCGCGGACCTGGTGGTCTGACAGCTTCACCACCAAATTCCGTTCGAGTTTTGGGACCACCGCCCGGAGATCGGGTTGCAACAGCGTGTGCCCGAAGCTTAAATCATGAAGCCTTGTCAGGTCTGAGGCTGTAAGAGTTGTCGGGCCGTGTTCGCCACTTTTCAGTCCTCTGCGCCCCAACCGAATTCCAAAAACCCGTACTTAAACCAGATCTTGATCCATAAACCCAACCGGATCTAAACGCCAAATCAGAGCAGGCTCCAAGGCCAACGAGCACTTGGGCTCTGTGGAGTCCTTCCTCCAGGACAAGTTCGGGGGTTTTACGAATTTTTGTCGGAGTGGGGGGGGTTGGGCGGATAACACACCCCGGGCTTGCACCAAACAACCCCCAACGTCAGGCCCCCAATGACTGCAGCTTGTAGAGCTGGTCCGATGTTGTGCACGGAGGGCGTGGGCCTAGAGAGACCGCAAAAGTGCACCCACCCTCCCGAGCTTTCAGTTGTCATTGCAGTGAGTCAACTGCGTGGGGATGTACCGTGGGGCCTTTCGTATTCTCGGGTTCCTTAATATACGTATAGTATGTAGCGATAATACATCGAAAACCCTATTCTCATCATTAAGGCTCGATTGCTTGCGTGCTGACCCGAAACTCTACACTCCTCCCATGTTACTTTATGATTATTTCATTGTAGTATGGTTTGCCCAGACATCTGTTATCATCATCCCTTATAGTTCCTTTATGACTACACCCACGGGGTTGTAGGTATAATATACCCCAACACTTTTGTGGGTCCATGGTTGGCTTTTTGGCTCTAGCCACCCAGAACCCTCCGCCCCTGACCCTCCCGAACCGCAGGACATCCTCGTGGATGAGACCGGGCAGCCTCAGAAGGCCAAGTGGGATTCTCGAGGTCGTGCCTGATGCTTCGGAATCGATCTTTTTCTGGGATTTTAGGGTTTCGGGTTTTACGGGCTTATGCGCAGTTCAGGCTGTTTGGAACATGTTTGTGCGCAGCCGTAAAAGTACGCACGAGAAGCCCTTGTGCGCCTCCGCTTTGCGAGGTTCCCAAAACAGGTCCCTGTAGCGAGGGCTGAAGGGTCACCGGGATTCGCTTAGCCGCCTAGCCTCAGCTAGCCTCTGCTTTGCACCAGGAGGTGTCACGGACGGCCCGCGACGTGCGCCTAAAGCGCCAGGAGAATTGAAATGGAACGGCAGCACGAAAAGTCGCCGATGCAAGAAGACAGTGTTGGCGAACTGGCAGGCAGCAGCTCGAGTATTGATGACGATGATGATGACCATGATGCAGTGCATCGTCATTGCTCTCCCCATTTTGCAGGAGACCTTTTCGGTGCGTGCCTTCCGCGGACACAAGAGGCCATTCCGTGTGCTGACATACGCACAGTAGCGGTCCTAGCAGCAAATCTGGAAGATGGCTTTCAACATCTCACGAAGTGATGGTACGGAACCGTGTAAGCATTTCATCGCCTTGGAAGAATCATGGCCGAGACCCAAATGCGAACATCTTGGCACTACAACATCAGGCGTTCCGGGAACCAGGCACACAACCTGCAACTCGCCAGGGCTGTAAATTTAGCACTGGTATTGCCTGTCTCTCCTAGAGGAGCCAGAGCCTGCTCCTGGGAGAACTGCAGGCCCAGAAGGACTCTAGGCTGCCCGTCGTGGCAGTGACAACAAGTCAAGGCAAACCCTACAAGGGATCCTTCTCCAAGCACCGCGCGTTTGCAGGCTCAAATTCACGTGGGGGCCCGGTCAGGACTGGGATGGGATTCCGGGCATGTTTTTGGAGCGGGCTTTCTGTTTCTGGGGTACGGACTTGAGCGTCGAGTTCTCTGATGTCGAACATGCTGTCCATGATCTAAAGTTGGGGCATGGCATTGAGGAATCTCCCTTTCCTCCATCCCTTCCGTTCTTCTTACGTCGTGATTTGCCCGGCGACCATGACTTTCGCGTATTTGATCTTTTTCCCTCGGTTCGAGTTGAAGGGTTACGCTACACCGTGTCAGTTTTCTGTTTGGCTTCGTGGCTCTCCATTCATGTCTGTTCCTGCCTGTTTGCCTAGGGCAAGTGTCTTGCAGGAAGTGCAATTAAAAAGAAACGCGCATGTGGTGGCTGCAGGAGTCCAACATCTTCTACGAAATGTGGTTCTTGCCCGACCTGGATCCACTTGCGGTGTTGATCCTTGGCAGCACAGACAGCCCGTGTATAGTACAAGCACATTACAGGATCATGTCGGCCTGTGAAGTTTAATAAGTTCCTGTCTTGCATGCTGCATCTGCCGCCCGGAAGCCTGTATTGTAACTGAGATACATGTTCATGACAAACCCCTCTTGAACAGTCGTTTTATCCATTCCCGAAGAAATTCTCACAGCACAGCCCTGCTCCGTTCCGGCTTTTTACACTCAGCCCACGGTCGCATCCCGCAGCCCCAAGTCGGACTCGCGAAGCAATATTCCTTCAGCCCAGCTCGTAATTGAGGCGATGTGTCTGGCTATCCTGACCCGTATAATCGGTTTGTGAAACGTTCGTGATGAACGTCCTTGGTCTGAGTACGATGGTTTGTTGTAGGAACCATGTGACCAGTTTACGGTTTCTCGTGACACTCCATGCCCGCAGCATGACGGGCATTCGCATTGTTGTAAGCTTCACCTCCTAGCTACTTTGCGCACTCCAGGAAGCCACTTCCGGCAGAGGTCTCCTTGCCGAAGGCCGGCTCCGAAAGTGCGAAGGCCTTGAGAGTCGGAGTAGGAAGGACAGTGGCTAACAGGGAGAGTCATGACTTTGGACATTAGCAACAATCTTCGTGGTCATCGTAGCAAGGGCTTATCATGGGAGAATCTTTCTTGTAGAACTCGCAATAGCTGCCTGGTTGCATTAGTCGCCATCATCGTATCACTCATTCGAAACGTAACAGCCGTAGCAAATACAAGATCGCTGCTTAATGATAATTTGCTGAAATCTTTGCTGTCATCCTGCAGAAGCCAGCTTGTGTATGTCCTTTACGGAACCACTGCTTGCGACGTACTCTTGCGGTTCCGTTTTGACTATGATTCTTTGCCATCATTGTTAGCTTGCGGAGGCATTTGCCGAGACCTTCGAAGAGAAGCAGGGGAACTGGAAGCTTGGCGATCATGGGGCCCACGGTTTGGATGACTGTGCTGATTCCTTGCAACACCCACCTACCAGTACAGTCAAACGCTTTTGCAAGAGTAAAGGCAACGCCGGTGATGGTACCGTTCTTGATTGGATTTGCAGGGTCCGGATTTGGGTGTTTCCGCACTCTGTGCGAGCACTTTGGACATTGTTTTATCTTTCAGGGCTGCTATAGTGTTTTAGAGCATTGCATCCTAAGTATTTGGTATGTTAAGTACTGCAATATACTGCATACTAAGAGACCCTTAGCACCAAAGCACAGCCCCAGTCTAAAACCAAGGCTGGATTAATGCTGCGACGCAGCCGTGTAGTACTATCCTGCTGCTGCTACTACTACTCCTACTACTACTACGACTACTACTACCACCACCAACAATAATAACAATAACACGACGAGCATAGGAGAAACACACCCAGAGCAATATAGGTATGGCAGTAGCAATCACAAGGATGATAGTAGCAGTGCTAACAATGCGTATACTAGCATTAATGGCAACAATAGTGGTATTAACATGGTGAACAGTGATGTTTTCATCATCATTATCATCATCCCACCATCATCGTTAATATTATTGCTATCATGATTTTCAGTGGTGGGTTTGTGGTAGCTTGTGTCGCTGAGGGACAGCAAGGCGGACGACTTGAACGGCGTGACGGAGGACCTTACGATAAATCAAAACGTCCGAACTCCATCCGATCAGAATGTGTTAAACGGTTAGGGTCGGGAGCAGTCACAAGCACAGGAAGACGGAGCACCAGGTTAGGCTTCTTGGCTTCGGAGCGTCGAAGCCAAAAGAGAGAGCATGTGCCGCAACAAGCCGCAGGGAGCAAACAAGTCTCCACACCGACACGTAGGCTTTTAAACCATCTGACACAGTGTTTCCTCTCGACAAGGTCCAGGGCAGCCATCAGAGATTAAAACCTGAAACGGCTTAAACATTGGCCGTGTGTCGGGAGTTTTGTACACAAGCTGAGGACGCCTTCCGATTCAGGTACTTCGCGGGAGTAAGTACGAACACCTGCCGTTCTTAGAGCCACCAAGCATCTGCGAGGACCTGGATGACTTCAACAAGGAAGAGCTCAGGACGCCCCTTGGTGCTGTGCGACAAGCCTGGGCAATCAACGATGGCAGACATATTCTGCCCAAAATCCCATGTTCCCAAGTGCTTGTACCCCAGATCCTCGAAGTATGCCCCATGTCATTCGTAGGCTCCAAGGTCCCACAACGCTCAACCATAAATCCGCAAGCCTTTCACCCGAAAGGTTACAAACACCCAGTAGACACAAGATCCCAAGTCCTTAGCCCGGTATTTATTAAGCTGCAAAATGCTGCCCAAGCCTTTAAAACACCCAAAGCTGGCCAAGCTGAACTACAAAGCTTGACAGCCTGAAGCTGTCAGAGAGGTATCAGAAAATCTTTATGTTTAAGAACCTTACCCGGGATAGTGCTGGGTTTGGGGGCTTAAGGAACTTCTGGGACCCTTATGAGGGCTCTTAGTGCGGATCTTGTACATGTAAGCGTTTAAGGTTTTCAGGGGTCTCGGGTTCAGAGCCTAGCTGTGCATAACCCCAAAACCCTACGATCCCTGATCCCTGAACCCCAAACCCTAGAAATCCCATACCCTGACGCACCTCAATATTGTAAGGGCTTGAACGACCACCAATATCATTATGCTTGCTCTTCGAACTCTCAGAGCTCCAATAATACAGAACCATCATTGAAACATTTGGAGCCCTTTCAAGGAGCTTATTCCAACTATCAAGGCCACCGTTTTGCCGCCAGCAAACCGAGGAACGGTCGCCAGTTCCAGTCGATGGCCAAGAGCATCTGGCCGGTGGAGTCGGCCCAGGCCCAACAAAATCTGTTGTTGCTATTGCTGCTGGTGTTCTTCCTTCTTGTGGTTGCTTTTATTGTAATGTTATCTTTGCTACGATGACGACTACTACTAAGTTACTACTACCACTGCTAACAGTATCAGTACCACTACCACTACCGTTACCCTTGCCACTACCACCGCTACACCTACTTTCCCCCTACCGCTACCGCCAGACCTACCACTACCACTATCACGATCGTTACTACTACTTCCAGTACTACCAGTACTACCACCATGTACTACTACCACTACTTCGACAACAACTACTGCGACTACGACTACGCCTACGACTACGACAACAGCAACAACGACAGCTACTACACCCTCCCCTTTTGTTGTTGCTATTGTCGGTTTTTTGTATTATTGTTGTGTTTGGTTCAGGGTTTGGGATTTAGGCTTCCGGCCCCCCGGAGGATTGGAGGCGGAGGGGTCTCGCGACTGAGGGGATTTGGGCCTTTTAGGGTTTCAAGGCGTTTTCGGCGGTTCAAGGGTTAAGGTTTCGGGTTGCGTTTGCTGGGTCTGGGTTCATGGTGGGGTAGGATATACTTTAGCGGGACAGTTGGAATGCTAGAGTCCAAGCAGGACTAGGGGAAAGTGGTTTTGGCTACTGTATCTTGAAGCTGTTCTGTGATTCGGTCGCACCTTGCCAAGGGACGCAAACCGACCCCCGTCAGGTGTCGTTTAAAGCCGCAAGGAAGGGTTGCTGTTCCCTGATACTTGCTTTTACTCAGAGGCCCCAAGCCGTCATAGAAATATGGAAGCTTGTCTTGGCTGCCTGTCTTGGCGTTGAACTTGGCTGTCCCTTGGGAACTGTGTAGCTGTGGCGTTCAGGCTTGGGGTAGCCTTTGGGACTGACAGCTAAAGTCAAAGGAGCACTTTCTCCCTCGCTTCCTGGATGTGCTCCGGCCTCCCCACGGCATCGACTCCGCCACCGCCGTTTGCAGCTTGGACGATGAAGCCGTGATGGCCCAGTGTTGAGTGCAGCAGAGGGGTTTGGGAGTCAGAGCTGATGATGGATTTGTAGATGTTGGATTCAGGCTTGTTTAGAGTTAGAGAGAAAGGGGTTCCTCGCAGCTCGAGTGGTCGAGGTTTGAAGTTTGGTATCAAGGAGTTTGGCTCTCTGCAGTTTTGCAGGGTCTCCTAGGGGTTTGGGAAGAGCCGCGGCTTGATGGTTCAGGGAGTTGGGTTCGATGGTGGCTGTGGCGAGTACAGGGCCCAGTGTCTTTGTAGAAGGTGACAAGCGGTTCTACGCTCCCCCTCTTTCTGTATATGTATATATACATATATATATATATATACTGTGTATGTACATACAATTCTGTGTTGAACAGTCAAGTCTTGGAGGACGTCGGATGATAGTTTCACAGGCAGAGAGCGTTGATCTGCAGCCGTTATCTGGTAAGTCTGCACTCAACCCCATTTCGCCATTGATGCATCTAACCAAACCCATCTCGCTTCCTTGTCCTTCGACTGGCTACACCCGGCTTTCTTCCAAGTGCCTGGATCAGCCATGGCGGGATCGCCCAACCAAGGCCACTACGTGGGCTGCTTCCCGTACATGGACCGGCTCGGTGTTCTGATGGCTGCAGGGTTCTCTTCAGTTGAACTGTGTACATCGTGCACCCGTAAAATACCCTAGATTCGGATTTTGTCGATGATTGCTCTGGAATATTGGCGTCCTTGAGTCTGGATCCGTGCTCTGCAGCTAGGGGCCACCAGACGATTAGTACACTCTCATGACCAGGACCAGTATCACGGTTCTTAGCTGCTTTCCGTTTTCTTGGTTTCTCATCTCCTGAACTATTTGTGGCTTTGGCAATACGTCCCAGCCGCCCGGAGTCTACCAGTCTTCGATGCTTCAAAGCTCCAAACCTGGACCCTAACTGAAGAATCCGAAACCTAAAGAAGCAAGGCGCTGCATCGGGGCTCGACTTAGAGACTTCCTCAGCTCTTAGAGCTGTGCAGGAAAGCAAGGCGGAGGAAACGGCAACTCGGCTCAGGGCCTTTTTTGGGTTCCGCAGGGTTGGGTTGCGTTCCCATGGGTGGTTCGAAGCTTTGGAGCTTCAGCTTTGGAGCTTCTGCTTTTTGGGGCCGCCGTGGGCAGGGCAGCGTCCCAGGGCCAGGCCTTGAATCGCAGCACTGTGCAGCGAAGAGTGGTCCTCAGCGTCAGAAGAGGCAACAGCATCCTGCGAGACAGACTACCGAGCTTTGCGCTGTAAATCTTTCCCTTTCGCCTTGCGAGACAACCGCTCCAAGTTTTCTGGAATGGGCCCGGGGTTTAGACGGGAGGGTTTAGACGGGATGACAATGGACTGTAGAATGATCCAGACGGATGTAGTGTCCGCTGAGACTTTGGTGTATCCTCGCAGGATGCCGGGACTAGGATGTGAGCATGTCGACAACGGACCAAGGCCCAAGGTCGGTCGGTTAGAATGGCGGCAATGACTTGTGTTTGTGTCGGAACGTTGAGCATGCCCTCGATGTGTTTCCTCAGCCTGCGCTTGGATCCTAAAGCCCTGAGCTGCAGCACCTCGGTTCGAGCGAGGTCAGCACGCCGAATTTCTTCTGCGCCCTGCGGAAGGGGAAGGTTCTGTCTGCAGGAGTTGGGGATTTGACTTAAGAGGAGAGCTACTGGGTTCAGCATTAAAGTTGAAAAGACCTTGAGGAATGCAGGTTCTGTACACTTGCCTTTTTTCTGGTTTGCCGCCATCACAAACAGTCAAAGAGGTTGCGGAAGGAGCAGGTGCCTTCAAGAAAACTCAGGTTCAGGACAGCCATCTGTTGTTGAAGGATGAGTCTGCCGGGACCCTGGGCCAGGACACCAGTAGCTCTGTGTTCCCTCACCTGTGCCCCAAGCTCGAGCCGAAGATTTCGACGAAGAACCATAAATTCGATTTCCGAGCCGCACCAGACCTTTGAAAGCATCCTTCTCTTGGCGTCTAGTGCAAACCTAAACCCTGAGCTCCCTAAACCTTATAAAGCCGATGCACCCGGAGCCCCCGCAGATCCTGGAGCATGCGCTGTTGCACTGCTCGCTGCTCTTGGGTCTCTCGTTCAAGGCCGGGGTTTTTCGGGTCAGATTCTGACTGTGAGTTTGGGTTCAGGTATATGGGTGTTTCTCCGGGGAGAAAGGGCTTTCAGCAGCAGAGTGGTTTGCTGTTGTTGGGACCTTTAGGTTTGTGTCAGTCGGCATCTGCGTCCGCCTTCAGGAAGGTTGTGATGTCAGGAGGGCCTTTCAGCGGGTCCCTTGCCCTGCTAACGCATGCCTGGCTTCTTTTGCAACTGCAGGCTGAGAAGGGCCCGGCCCACCGCCATGGGTCCTCAATACTTTGCGGCTGAAGAAGCGATACAGGGCACTTCGATGCAAAGGAAGGTCTGAAACCAAGCACTCGGAGTCCTAACCTCCATAAGCCAAGATTCCCAGGCCAGAGACTTCGGTCGCAACGTTTGGAGGTAGAGCTCGTCGTTCTCAACCGAACAGAGGAGACGTTGCATCTTGAGATGCTCGGCAGAATCCAAAAGCAACCAGAAGTTGAAACCGCAGCCGCCAAGCCCTGATGCCCAAACCCTGAGCCCTTCACTGAACCCCCAAAGCCTTTCTGCGGCGCTGGCCCAGGCCTACGTGTGCATGGGCACCAACTTGAAGGACGAGCCTCACGCCTGGGTTTCGTGGCCGCCATCGGGGCTTCAAGGGCTCAGGCTATTTGGAGCTCATGACTTTGATGTCGACAAGAACTCTCCCGCCGTAGACAGTGCTAGACAGGTTGCGACCTGGTTTTTCTCGGTAAGGGTTGAGGATTTAGAGTCTCGGACTTGGAAGCCGAGTCGGGTTGGTGGTTCAGGTTCTAGCATTTTCATCGTCGGTCATCAGTACCCAACAGCCTTCGCCGTCAACGGTGCTGAGCCATGATGACTTTCACGTTTGTCTCCTTATGTGCACTTCCGAACCGTTGAAGAAGGTTTAGGGTCCAAACAACCTAGCGAAATCTGCGCCATAGCAGATGCGCCCAACCTTACAGGGCTCCCTACCCAAGGCCCGAAACCAGTGCATCGGTTTGGGGATCTAGGGAGTTGTTCTGAAGATTCTGAGGCTCCTGAACCCACAGCTCGATCAGAAACTGTCACCCCGACACCCACAGAAGATCCTCGAATACTCGGCTGTCTTGGCATTTCTCCCAGGTGGCCGTCTTTGAGGAGGACTGCTGCAGATGCTTGTTGCAATTGAGGATCCTTGACAAAGTTCTGATTTGGGTTTTAGGGTTCAGGGTTTAGAGTTTAAAAGGAAGTAAAGGAGCTTCATACGCAACCTACCCTACCCCACCCTACCCTACCCTAGGTCCAATGATTGGTGCTTCTGTCCCTGCATGCACCATGCTTTTCTATCCGCCTTGCATGCAGCCTTAAATCCTAAACCCCAAATCCGGAAGCCGTAAGCCCCAAACCCGAGACCCTGAAGCCCCCTTCAACCCGCAACCCTCAGTCCTAAACCCTGAAACCCTCCTTTGTCTTGACAGGACGCAACCGTTCGCTTCTGGGAGCCGTCCTGCCGGGCTCGCTTCCTCGTGCATGAGTGAAGATACACTGGCTTCGGGCGTGCGGGCTTGGGGGGTTTGCAACTTTGGAGGGGTTGAGCGTTTCGGGGTTTAGCTGTTCGGGGGTTGAAGGTTAATGTGTTTGGGCTTTAGAGGCTTAGAATGCTGCCACTACTACTACTACTACTACTACTACTACGACGACTACTACTGCTTCTGCACCTCTTGCTGCTGCTACTGCCACTTCTGCTGCTGCGACGACGACTACCACAACTACGACGACTACTACAACATTGTACGCTGCCTTTGGGGTGTAATGTTCCAAGTTTTGCTATATCGCATTTTCAGATCTGACACCCGTCTCTGTCTCGCGTAAAGTGTTTTCGGCATTATCCAAGAGTTGCCAGGCAAGATGCAATAGACGGGGATTGAGTTGCCCTTTCTCAGCTTGGAGGGCTTGACGGGGTTTAGTGTTTGAAGGTTTGGCATTTTAGGGTTTAGCGGTCTGGCGTTTCGTGGTTTCAGTTTCATGGGTTTCGGGTTTAGCGCTTAGGTCGTTTTGAGGTTTAAGGGTGTAGGGCTTGGCGGTTCCAGGTTCAGCGGGATAGGGTTGGACGGTTTGGGTTCAGAGTTGAATACAGAAGGTTAGGGTTTGAGGGCCTGGCGTGGTGTGCGCCTGTGCACGGACGACATGTAGCGAGCATACTTTGCCGAGTGCAGCTTGTGCGGTGTGTTTTGAGGCTTCCTGGTTATGGTTTAGTTTAGCGGGCTTCGGGTCCAAGTTCAAGGGTGTAGTAAGGTTCGGCGGTTCGGGGTTCAAGGGTGTAGATTTGACGGTTTAAGGCATGGCTACAATATCGTTTGCATCATGATGGGAGGTCCTTTTATCCGTTTGGTCTGTGCTAGCACAGTGGCAATAGCATCAGTGGCAGCAGTTCCTGTGGCAGTCAGCAGCATTAGCTTAACAAGGATTCGACTGAGCGTTACGTCTAAGTGCTGTCAAATCAGCTTTCATGGCGGCTGGTACTGCACGCTTGTCATCACAAAGTCGTGTTGCTGGATGATGCTGATTCGTGCGTCATGCTGGTCAGCTGTTTGAAAAACATGCCTGAAGATTGGGATTGATCTCCGATCCCCAAACCGTCAGTCTACATCCAACATCCCGAAAACCCAGAAACCCTTCTCGTCTTTTTCCCGTGGCTTTCCCCACCTTTGGGCCCTGGGGTATGAGGAGATAGGGTTAGGGTTTGCGGGCAGGGTTTTGTAGTATGTCTCCTGGTTGGGGTGAAATTTCATATAGAGGCCTACTGAGTCGGAAGATGAGGAAGATGTGTTGGCAGACGTGTAAAAGATGAACAAATTTGGGAGTGGAGAGGTTAGCAGCGGAGTCCACAGGATAACCAATGAACTGGAATCAGACAGGGGTTTGAATCCTCAAAACCTTTACTCCACAACATCACGTGCACCGTGAAATTCATGCGTACACCCCAACCCTGAAGTCCAGACGCCAACATGAACCTTCAACCCCGAACTGTCAGCGTTGTGATTTGAGTCCATCACCTTCAGGTTGAAGGCAGGATGCTAAATCGGAACGATCGTGGCAGGTTCCTCGGAACAGGTTCTATGCAGCTTCGACGCCGATTCGCGCTGGGCACTTGGCACATGACGCTCCTGAGGTAAACTTGGTAGCAGGTAAGTAGCAATACGGCATCAGTTCGTTCTCATGTGAGAAAGTTAAGAGAGACACGGCGAAGCGCCATATGTGATTCAACAACGAGATGTGCAAACAAACGGTATTTGAGGTGTATGAGCAATTTATATGAATTTGTGCATTGACGATGGTTAAACAACTGACCATGTACATTTACGCCAAATCCTCACTCACATGCACAGTACGTAAAACAATTGCATGCATACACTTATGCATGTACATACACTTCCGTCTACCTATACTGCTCTTTTACTTACGCATTGTCACTCTCGAGGTATTTATGTATGCGCACGCGTCTGCAGACATACGCGGGTAGTTTGTGCAGCTGTAGATCTGCACTTATGCTCAACTATTGGCGTATACACATGTGCGTAACAAGTACACATGCAGATAGACGTCTGTACACGTCCGACATACATGCATATGCATATGTTTGTTTAGATATATACACACACATGTATGCAAATATATATATATATATGTATATATATATGTATATATCTATTTATAATACGTGCATTTATTTATACATCTTACATATACCTACATTTAGGATGTGCATCTGTGTTCACAGATGTGTAAGTATGCCGATGTTTGTACATTTGCTAGGACATGTAAAGTGAATGGATTTGGAGCGTACAAAGCAATCCGAATGAATGGAATGAGTGAAATACCGTGATGGAATGAACAAAACAAACGATGAAGACAGGCATGATAGCGAGTGCATAGAATGACGCTTGCTAGTGCAAGCGAGTCCATGACATGACTTGAACTATGCATGCACCCGTGGAAGAATGCATGAGCCAATGAATGAATGAATGATTGAATGACTCAATGAATGACTGAATGAATGAGAGGAAGCAAGGAATGAATGAACGAAAGAAAGAAATCAGGAATGAACCGTGAATGCATGCATGGGTGGTTGGATGGATGGCTGAGTGAAAGGAATGACTTCACCAATGAGTGATTGCATGATCGAACGTTTCAATGAATGAATGAATGAACGAATGAATGAACGAATGAATGAACGAATGAATGAACGAATGAATGAACGAATGAATGAATGAATGAATGAATGAACGAATGAGCGAACGAACTGACGAACAAATGAATGAGTGAATGAATGAAGAGATGAGATGGAAGAAGAGAATGGAATGGATGAAATGAATGAAGTTGTTGAAATGGCTGAAATGAAAAAGGTAAAGGACATGAGTGGAATGAATGAAGTTAATGAAATGGATGAAAACGTGAAAGAACATGAACTGAACTGGTTTTCAACCTGCAATGTCCAGGACGCATGCCCATGACTGAGCTTCAGATTCCAGACGTGGTCTGTTGGTCTGCAGCCTGCAGCAGTTTACTAGTCTATGGAGTCTATGGCATCTATGCGAAAGTTTTCCCTTGAAATTCAGGTGCATTCCTGGCAGCTAAGACTCTGCACCTGGGTCCGAACCTGCAAACCCTACGCTGCAAATAATACGTCCGATGCCCGAATTTGCAATGTTGCTTCCAATTCTCAGGCATCCGCAGTATCTCGTGCCGGGAAAGCCGCTCGGCCTCATGATGTGGGCTCAGACTTCCTGGAGGGTCAATTGGGCTCTTCGGCTCAGGATCTTTTGGTAACTCTTGTTGTTGTTCATGTCATGGCCGCCATCACTGGCATGGCTGCTCTTCTCCTTTTCTTGTTGTCACGGTGGCTAGATAACGGCAATCCTGCCAGAACCCCACGAGCCCATACTTTCTTTCTCCGACCCGGTTGCCTGAAGACTCCGTGTGCTTGAAAGGTCGGGGTTGAGAGCTTTGGTATGCGCGGGTTACGAGGTTGAGGGGGCTGAGCATGTTAAAACTACAGGGCCTCAACTCCCAATGACAGACCCACCTGCCCGAATCCAGAAAGCGCTACGCCGTGAATCCTTGACTCTTAAACTCTCAGGACTTCAACTTAAGGCCAAAACAGTCAAACCCTGAACCAACACAGAATCCTAAAAGCACTTCCTGAGTAAAATTTCCAAAGACCGTCTGACGTCGTCCGAGGCGTAGCGTTCGCAGCCTCAAGGACCGGCCTGGTACTTCCTCTCGAGTGAGTCCAAACGCCTGAATCTGGGGGTTTGGTTTGGCGTTCAGGATTGAGACATGGGCCTTAGACCCTGGACTGTAGGTGAGCAGCGACGAGAAGCCCTTGAGGCCCGAATTCTCAAACCTTCACAGCAGGCTTCAAGGCAGTACCTGAACCTCAAACTCCAATACCCAGAGGGGCAGTCTGACTATAAGCGAAAATAGCTAAGGGATGCTACTACTTCATGATGTTGCGTGTCAAGTACCTACATGCTCAAAACCGGGACGCGACAGCATCAATGCAAAAAGCAATTGAGAATCATACGACAGAGAAGCATGCAGCCAAAAGCCACGATTAACATGATACCCGATCAGCCATGTTAGAAATGGCGGTACTGGTTAGCGGGAATCGATAGTACCACAGAAGCTTGATTGTTTCATAGCAACATCTCTACGAATAGACGCAGCAGGAGCATGAGGGATGCACAGCTGTGCCCAGCGTCAAAAAGAGATTCAACAAACTGATTATCATTACAACAACACCAACTACCGCTGCTAGTACTAGTACTAGTACTAGACCTAGTAGCGGTGGTAATTGTGGCAGTAGTCGCAGCAGCAGCAGCAGCAGCAGCAGCAGCAGCAGCAGCAGTAGTAGTAGTAGTAGTAGTAGCAGTACCGCTACTACTACTGCTACTACTACTACTACGACGACGACGACGACTACTACTACAACTGCTGCTTCAACAAAAGCAGCAACTACCACTACAATTACTATTACTACTACTACTACTACTACTACTGCTACTACTACCACAACAACAACTACTACTACTACTACTACTACTACTACTACTACTACTACTACTACTACTACCACGAGTACTACGAGTACTAGTACTAGGCGGGCCCCCCTACCAACTAACCCCTTTTGCATGCATTGCTTTGGGGTGGCGGGTGCGGGGGGGGGGGGGGGGGGCACCCATTTTCGAGTTTTCGCTGAAAGCCCTCGCAAAGGCAAAAGACAACGTAGCAAAGTCTTGGCAACTAGAAAGAGGGAAAGCACTGTACATACCGAGCGAAATGGCTCTTCCGGAGATGTTGTTCGGGGTGTCGGCGTAACAATGTCGTCATCATTCTTCCCGCACCCCCCCCACCTCCCGCCAAAAGCAAGTCCAGAATCGGATGCAGGAGTTTGAAAACTCGTTGTTAGTAATGGAGTGTGACATGAGCAAAGTACTTTAAAGACCAAGTAAAAAGAAAGCTTTCCCCCACCCAATTTCGAGTTCTTCGCTGAAAGCCATCGCAAAGGCAAAAGACAACGTATCAAAGTCCAGATGCTGCGACGACGACGACGATTACTACTACCACCACTACTAGTGCTATTGCTGCTGCTACTATTACTACGACGACGACGACGACGACTACTACTACTACTACTACTACTACCACTACTACTAGTGCTACTGCTACTGCTACCGCTACCGCTACTGCTACTGCTACTGCTACTGCTACCGCTACTACTACAACTGCTACTACTACTACTGCTACTACTTCTCCTACTTGAACACGTAGCAACAGTTGCTACTACAGTGGCACTGTCTTATGATCGTCATCTTCATCATTTTCATGACCATTGTCCCGGTCTTGATCATTGTCATCACCATCAGCATTAGCATCTACATCATCATCATCATCGTCATCATCATCATCGCCATCATCATTATCACCATCGTCATCAACACCCATGAGCGTAGTAAGCTGACACAGGGCACCAGCAAGCTCAGGAGCCTGAAATGGCAGGCGAGCGGCGCAGGCGCAGGCCCTGCTGTAGATCGCCCCCTATTGCGGCTTGGGCTTGGCCTTCGTGGCTTACGGGCTTCAGGATGTTAAGGTGTAGGGTTTGTAGGCGGTTGACGGTTTCAGGATTCAGGATTCCAGATTTCAAGGTCTAGAGGTTTGGGGTCTTTTTTGGTCTTTCTTAGATGATTGAACTCTTGGGCCCGGTTATGAAGCAGTGGGAAAGTCAGGATAGGAGTCGTATTCCTTTGTGTAAAAGCACTTGCTTTGGGACTGGGGTGAATGTGTGGCTGCGGCAGGTGCTTTCGGTCACAACGCATGCAGTGGAGGAATTCTACTGTTCGCTCTCGACTTTCGCAGCAGCGTAGCAGCCTCAACGCTAAACCCCAAGCTCAAACTGGGTTTGTCGAGCCAGGCGGATCCTACAGCAAACGGGCGGCAAGCGCCCGAGCCGAGCCATGCTGCCTGCGGTTGCAGGCACCAGGGTTTGGGGTGGGTAAAGTCTTGTAGTGTTCGAAGCACTAGGTGTATTCACTTCTTCACTCCGTTGTCCTGTGTCTCGGCTGTGTATTGTGCCCTGTTGCCTGAAGATTTTGCCAGAATCAAACATTGTGCATTCACAGCAACAAGATGCTTCACGTGCATGCCAATAGCTGGGGCCGACTTCCAGAAGCCCTGCACACAAACAGCTCCTCGAAGTGTAGCAGCGGCGTCTTCAGCAGGGGCCTCCTTTGAACATCGCAATACTGTCTTCCTTTCATTCCTATCATTGCAGGACTCTGGCCCCTCAGCCGTGTCTGTTCTCGCTTTTTCCGTTTCCGTGGTGGAGTTGAGCGCAAGTCCCCAAACATACTTGTTTTGAGCTGCTGTGTTTGCCATGCCATCGTTCCCAGGCTCCTCGATAAGGCTTGAGTCCAGGCTTTATCGCAACGTGCAAGCTGAGAGGGCGGTGTAAGGGGGAACATGAACAATGATGATGTTCAGATGCTGAGGGAAATGCTCATGCAAGTGATTTGCATGACATGGAACCGATGAAGTCCTCGTTTCTCGAGGTTATGGCCCTAATCTGCGGTGCGCTACTATTCCGATCTTCGTTCTTTGCGGCGTAGGCTGCAGGCTTCTCTGCATTCGGGCATCAGGGTTCAGTGCATGGAAAGCCCCCCAACCCTGCTGAGAAGCGGCTTCGCAAGCTGCACCGAATCCGAAGCGGAAGACGAAGAAGTCGATGTTCAGGCCTGTGCGAGGGTTATCGGGTTCAGAGTTCGGAGTCAAGGGTTTGGGACAAGGTTTTGGTGTCAGTCAAGGGCCGGCGAGGCTCAGGACTGAGGGTGAACGTAACAGCCCATGGCTTCGTAGGAGTTTTCCACAGTTATCCAGTTGTTGTTGTCCTGGCTGCAGGTATCAAGCCATCACGGGATGTAGTAAGTGGGCTCTATGTAGGGACATTCGCCCTGCAGCTCCAAGATCAATCTACTTACCAAGTCCCCTGCTGCTCCAGTCAAGCCAGGATGTCATTTTCCATTTCAGCCCTGGTGTTCAGGGTTGCACATCCAGGTTGGCAAAAATGTTGAAGGTGCGTGTGTGTGTGTGTGTGTGCGTGTGTGTGTGTGTGCGTGTGTGGGGCGTGTGTGGGGCTTGTGAAAGGAAGCGTCGTTACTCTGTTTTGGCTTCGGTCTAAATATCTGTCATGTGAATTGTTTAGTGTTGAGGTAGCGGGGCTTCGGTTTTGCAAGGGCTTTGGGCCTGCACGGTTTCGGATCTGGGCCTTGAGCGGCTGCACTTAGCCCAAACCCTCACTCTCTCTTCAAGCCAAAGCCGACACGACATCCAGAACGCTCCTACAGAAAGGCCTCCAACTGTTGTAAGGTTGAAACCGAACCGTGCCCAGGCCCAGTGCAGCTCCCACCGAGAAACCAGAGGGCCACGAGCACGCCCCGCGGCTCCCGTTCAGGAGCTAAGGCCTAGGAGGTTTTGAACTTGAAGGGTTTCTAGGTCGTGAGCAAGGAGTTCAACCATTGGAAGTTTCGATTACATCTTTGGGCCATTGGTGGTATGCAATATGGCTTCTGTGATGTGGCTCTTGAGAGGGTTGCCATATATAAGGCATCATAGGGTCCATATCCGTCAGGGTGGACAGCGTTGTTTGGCCCTTTTGCTCGTGCGTTGTTTGCATGGTCTATCCGGCTCTGTCCGAGTCAACCCACTGACAAGGGACGGATTCTGAGTTCAGGGCTTTAGATGCCCAGCTGGCAAGGAGAAGGGCTTTTCCTCGAGTTTTTTCACCACGAGCATCCTGAAAATCTCTTTAATCTTACTTGGAGCTTCCTAATGTTTCACAGAGACGCCACTACCCAATTTTGACCCTATTCAGCCCAGGAGAAAGCAAATAGGAAACCATTAACGAACCCTGCAAAGTCATGACAGCAGCTGCTTCGAATCGTGCTCAGGCCGTTTGTATTTAACTCCGCGGTACAAGCATGGTTCTGGGTTGGATTGCAGGGGTTGGATATGGGATGAGCCGGATAAGGGCTGGGGCCCAGGGTTTGGTGTAGATGGGGTTGAGGTTTGAACCTGAGTCCAACTCTACCACAAAATTTAAACCATCTGAGGACATGGTCTATGCTGATTTGCTCGATTTGGGCGCGTGGCTCAGCTTTGGCACCCGGGGCTATTGATGGCCAAGCTACCGCTACATACGAGATCTCCCGGGTTTTGGCTTGGCAGGGGGTTTAGGGCCTCAGAGGCCAAGGGTTTAGAGAGCGAGCCAGTGAAACCTTTAGTCTTTTTTCGGTGTGTACTTGGCAACCGTCACTTGCTTGAGCCAGCCGAGCTTGAAATCCACGATCCTGAATGCTACCCGGTTCATGCTTGTCAGGGATGTGGTCGGCAGGGGGGTCATCTGAGGTTCGAAGTATGTATAGCATTATTATGCCAGCGTCCTTGCAGAGCTTGTGTAAGGTGTGCCTCAGAACGTGTGTCATGGTTGTATACCCAACCCAAGTTCAGAAGAACTGATACTTCCAGTTCTTGAGCCTCCAATATTCATCCTTATGAAGCCGTATAGAACCGTTAAATGCGGTATAACGTCTGCGGAGGTGAACCCATCCCGAATCCAATAAGACCGTAGAACTTTAGGTCCCAACCTTCCAAAACCGACAAGACCGACACGTCTTCGACGTGAGACCCAAAGCCGTAAGCCTTTGAATTCTCGAAGCCTGAAGCAGCAAAATCCTGAGACGTGATACCTAACTCCAGATTCTTCAACGGGAGAAGACGGTCGGGTTTCACGTCTCAAAGCTTCAGTGTTTGACTGTTTGAGGATTCAGGGGTGAAGGGTTTGTGGGTTTAGGCCGTATGGATGAAGGCTTCGGTTACAAGGTTTAGGGATCACAAAACTTGGACGAAGACGGGCACGACCTGTTCGATTCACCTTTCGTCAGTCGAGTTTCGGGCCAGCAGTCATTTTGGAGGGTTTGGATCAGAAGTTCGGGTTAGGGCTTCTCATCACAAGTGCTGCAGTTCAGGTAGGAACCTTTGCTGAATGTAGCGTGAGTGTGAGAGGGGATGGACGTCCTGTGAATGTGGACCTATTGCACGTCCTGTCTCACAAGCGTGGTTGTCAAAATTAGGGTCCCTTTTTGGGTCCTTATTATAATACGGCACCTATATAATATTCAGGGTACCCAAAGAGGACCATCATTTTGACAACCACCCACAAGGTAGCTAGCACTCCCCTAAACTCTGAACCCCCCTAAGCCCCAATGCCCTAACCGCCCAATTTCTATAAAGCTATGGCGCCAAAGGATCAACTTCAAGATCCCCAAAGCCTTTGGTGCATGCCTCTAGAGCCCTTAGGAACCTCTAGAACAAGCCTAGACCCTCTTCGCCTCTGAACTCCTCTAAGGAGTCACCGACCGACCCGAGGAAGATCGAGGTCGGGCCGGGGCAGCAAAACACATACACATACACAGCTAAAGGCTTCTGCTCCAGATCAGCAATGCGACAAGTAGTACGGCTGGGAGCTTGTGTCTTGACCATTTCGTCCAAACTAGGTCGCGGCCTGTAAATTCTCACTCTGAGCTTGTTGTGCAGATGTTGTTTTTGCATGGGCTCAAGCAGGCGATATGGTTTTTGAAGCTTGCAATTTCCAGAGGACCTTCGAGTCAGCAACTGCTTTCGAAAAGGCTGAAAGGGCTGGAACAAATCTGCAGGGACTCAATGATCTCTGGTTGTATCCATTGGGAAACTCCGAGTCTCGATGTTCTGAAGGAGGTTCCTCAGTATGTAGTTACCATTTGTCTATCATGAGTTTCGGCTTTTGAATACCCTTGCAGGATTTGGAGAATTGGGACCCCAAGCCCTGAAACTGAACGACTTCCCACTCTGCCGCAGTTGAGAATTCACCTCATCCCCACTGCGCCGCCTGCTACGCCCTCGTCGGGGGAGCGCCGCTCGCCTCGACTTTGTTTGGTTTCCAAGCTGCAGGAACGTTCCACTGAAGCAGTGACCTCCTTCCCACTTAAGGCATGTTGAGAATAAGTTTCATCAGGAGTTCCAGCTTCATGTTGGAGGACACATCCCCAGATCGATAAGCTTGAAGTCATATGTTTTCTGTCCTTGACTTCCGGAACCTTGAATGGCCTCCCAGGACAAACAGACCAGCTGTCACTCACAGCCGAGTGCCTATGAGTTTGCTTTGGGTTCCATACCCCAAGCCCCCTCTGATGAACTCGAACATCATTGCCAAGGTATTTCTACCGGGGTTTCAAGTGCCCGACGTGCGAAGAGGTCGGGTTGCGAAGTCACGTGGCACGTGCCGTGGGGACTGCGGAAACTGGGAGAACTATGGAATGTAGCCTTGGGGCGGGTCATTTCAGAAACCAAAGGTCTTCAAAGATTAAATTGAAGGGTCCTTTACCATCCTCCCCGCTGGAGCTAGGGGATGGTATAGTATAATATAGTGTAATATAGCTCGAAGCTTGGGGCAGCCATTCAAGGGTCCCCACCTCGCCTGGTTTCAAACTCTGCGTCCGACACCTTCCGACAACTCGCAGTGAGAACGCCACAAGCCTGCGTTCTCGGCCGAAGTTTCGCAGGGAGCCACGCAGCTAGAGTTGTGTGTGTCATTCTCGTGCCGTCTATCTGTACATTCGTCATGTATCGTCATAGGCTGCTGGGTGTCGTTACGACGTATCGCAAAGGTAGGCCTACACTTGAGAAACCAAGTCGGACCAATGGTACACAAGCGGAGAAAAGCATGGGTAGCTAGATCACCAATCTCGCTTCACTTGCATATGTGTATCACCCGACAGTCGTTGACATTCCGACACAGTCATGTTTCGTGTTGCTCGGCCCAAGCGTCATCAGAACTCGAATTGTTGCTGGGTGGATAGGCTGGAACCCGGCACTTGCTTTGCTACAAGTCGCTTGGGCTGCATTCAAAAGTAGAGGTTTCACGTGTTTTGGTTTCGGTCGCATTGGGGTTCATGGCTGCAGAACGATTTCCAGAGTGAAGGTGGCCGGCATATCAAATCTGTCTCCGCTTGAAGCAGCAGACGCAGGTGGCAGCAGCGGCAGCAGCAGGAGCAGCACTAGGAGTAGGAGGACCTCCGTACAATGTAAGATCAAATTCAACTTGACTACTGCATGATTGCTGAGCTCTGCTCAAGCAATAAGGGTGTTGGATGTTTGGGACTCGAGGTGCGCGGAGGCCGTTTTCGACGACATCGATGAATTGCAGGTTCCCTGCTCGGCTTATGGGTTGAACGCCCTTGAGGCTTAGGAAGCAGGTCTTCGTAAGCACCCTTAGCAAACCTCGACATGAAGTTCAGCAAAGGTGAGCCGAAGTGCATGTCCTTAACCCCCCGGCTTGTGCGGCAAACGGAAGCCCCAAGACCAGAATCGATGCGGATTCAAAGACTCAGGGCTCTTGGAAGTCTGTCATGTGGAAGTGTGGAACATGTCATGTGCACTCGCAGAAAGCAGCGTTGTCGACTACAATGGTACTCAGAGCCTGCTTGCGGACTTCCCGCATCTCTTCTGTTTGAAGGAATCACCTGAGACCCTAAACCTCAAACCCTAAACCCTAAACAGCCCTAAACCCCGAACCCGAAACCCGGATCGCATTTTGAGTTTGGGCCAGGATGTGGAGCTGGACATCCGGGACAAGTTCGATTTCGAGGCACGGCACTTGCTGGTAAGGGGTTTAGGGTCTGGGCTTTAGCCTAGTATCGAGGATTAAGAGTGTCGGGTTTCGGGTTTGAGGTTTAGGGCCAGTTTAGGGTTTAGGGGTTTAGGGTAAGTTTAGAGTTTGGGGTTTTAAGAACAGCGCTTCGCAAGATATGGCTCGGAGCGGACGGAGTTGGGATTGGGTTTCGTGTGTTGATGTGCGACAGTTTTGCAACTGTTGCGTGGGTTTTCTCTGCAGGCTATGTAATCTACAAGGTCAGGTTTCCGGCACAATTCGGGTGTTCTGTATTGTTAGTTACACTCCGGAATGCTGCTATGGTGTATTGGCTTCCGTCGTGTTTCTGAATTCAGCAGAACATCAGCAACGCAAGTTTAAAGCGCGATGGCACTCATGGCGAGTATACTTCTACACTCAGGTTCTTATCTCCAAGTGCCAAAGATAAAGAACCCCATGCGGCAACGCCCTTGCCCACAACCGCCCGAGCACTCTCCAGTCGGTTAATGCCGAGTCAACCGGGTTTCCGTCCCGAATCTTCATCTTTCCCATACGCTCCAGACCACACCCAAAACTCTAAAGCCACGTGAAGTTTGTTTTGGGGTAGTGTACGGTCCTGGAGTGTTGCGGTTCATACCAGTGCTTTGGTGAGGGGATGAGGGGGTTCGTTCGGAGGCACCAGCTAGTTGCTCTCCCAGCACAGAGACTTCCGAATTCACACTTCGCAGATGGAAAGGTTGATCATAAGTTGAGAACTCCTTGCTGAATAGCAGTACGCAGCACCAGACCGCCATTTCAAGCAAAGGTTTTCAAGCTTTCATGGGGAAGTATCGGACCGGAGACACCTTCGGCAGAACCTGCGAAGGTCCTTGTTCTTGGCGAACCCCTCTGACCCGAGCTTCGGCGTGCTAACACCCCTTAGAGAGATCCCTACACCCACGAAGCTCGAAGCTGAGACTCTGAAGATTAGACGCCGTGCACGCCGAAGGCCTACAACTCCTACTTGGATGACAGCTTCTGCCTGAGATGTCACACCGTGGTGTATTCAGACGGTGGCCTAAAAGAATCGACGAGATTCTAGACATACTCTACGGTAAGGGTGTATGGAGATGATAATAAAGATAATGGTTCTTAAAACTGCACCCAAACCTTGTGGGGCTCGCGAGGGGCAGTCGCAGAAGCACTTGCAGCCAGAGCACTGGGCCAGTTGCAGTAACGGTGCGCGTTGAGGTTGTATCTTAATAGTGGGAGCTACGTGAAATGGAGACAGTTCCCTAGACCGACCAACATCTTTTATGGCCGAGCGATGCTCATGGGGCAGACTATGCCCGAGCACAAACCCTTCAAACCTTGGAGCACCAGGGGCTTACCGTAGGGTTTCAGGTTTCGTTGCGTTTTGGTGAGCTTTCTCCTACTGCAGCAGGCATGCAGGCATGCCTGAAGCACCTGTTATGTGCCGACCATGGCGACCGCAATGCCAAGCCTGGCTACATCGCACTTGCCGAACGCTGTGTCATGAAGGCCGCCTGTGATCCTTCGCAATTCATGTGGCATGTTGTGCGTTCATCCGTTGTCCCAAGATCACTTTGCCCGTGCTCGCGAGTGCTGAGGCTTGAATGACTCCAGCACGGTCCTTCCGTACAAGACCGTGGAGGTGCCCAGACTAGCCTAGACATGCTGCCCCTATGACACCAAACCCCAACCTCAATGCAGGAGAAGGTCTGGCGGTTCCATCTGTTGTTGCAGATAGACCGGTGTGGGCTCTTGAAAGAGAACCCTTTTCAGGGGGAGGCCTTGAAACCCTACCGGAGCCCGGGAGTCGGTTTGAGGCTTTTTGGATGGAGCTTTGTCAGGCTTGGTTTGGGATCCTCAGCCCTGGAGCCTTCAGAGACCCCCTTCTCTTTTTTGGAGCAGCCGTGCGAGGTGGTCTTCAACAACCTGAACATGTGGATGAACATCCAGCATGCCGACCCACGCCTCTTCCTCGGCTTCTTCTTACGTTGAGGCCTGGTGAGGTCTCCTTCAGGCAGTCTAAGCGTTGGACACTCGACAGCCAGGGCCGGAATGGTCCTGTTCTTCGTTCGATTATCCATGACCTTGATCCTGAGCTCCGTTCCGTGCATTTGTAGGCTCGCATTCGACCTTTTTTGTTCATCCCGGGAGTTTCAGGTGCTAGGGTTCGGGCACAAGGGTGAAGGGCAACGGCACAATTGAAGCGATCGCTTCTGCGCTTCGGCGCTTCGCCTTATGCACACAACCCGCAAGCCGCAGATCCTCAGCCCAAGCCCTTCCGCAAGTTTCATGGCCAAAGCGGAGAAGGTTTTGCGAGATCCTAGGGTTGCCTAACACTACAATAAACCAGACCCGCCTCTTCTATGTTCTACAAACAGTCCTGGGAGGATCGAGAAAGGTCGCCCAATAGTATACTAGATTGTGCTGCGTACTGTATAGTATACAGTGGCATGCTAGACTTGTAACCGTTATCCGTTCCCCAGAGCCTTACACCTTTCAGCCGTCACCGAGGCTACATCTTCTGGGACTTGCAGAACAAGGCGCATCTGATTCCATCTTGCCAGCAGGGGAGGTATATTTGTAGACACGTGATTCAAAAGGCGCTTTCTTGAACCAACCTTGTCGTTGAAGGCCAAGGATACCTCGATCCCAGCCCAAAGCCCAGATCCTCCAGCGTCCCTTTGAAGCTTCAGCTCCGAGGCCCCAGGGCGGCCAAACCTGAAAGCCGCGCTGTGTAATGTAGGGGCCTTTGGGGCTCAGGATGCTAGAGTTATAATAAGGAACCCCCAAAATTGAATATTGGTAATTCTTTAGGCCCCCATAGTAGTGACAGTCCGGCCTTGAAGGAGCTTGGTAGCTTCGAAGACGGTAGCAAGAACTATAACAGCAAAAACCAACAAATATCAATAGCACTAGCAGCCATAGTTATACCAACCAGGGGGTTTAGCATTTAATAGGAATTCAAGCTGCGAGACTCCATAAGACCACAGGGACATGAGGACCCGAAGCATCCGAAAAGGTCCATCCCTGCTCACGTTTTACTTCAGTTTGCGCGGCCACCAGTTGAGGCATGCTTGAGGTTATAGGTGTTTTCATCAGAGTTTAGAACCCCAAAAGGCCCGGAATAAGACACTGATTTTGAAGATTATGTTTTGTCCTGCGGTGCTCCTAGCCTCCCTTCCCGTGCCATGTTGGGCAAGCTCCCCTCCCTCCGGCGCAGGACTACTGGCATGCCTTCGCACCCAAGGCCCGGTTGAGCGTCTGCCTTCAACCCGAAGAGGGTAGGATGGAAGGTTGGGGGGGCTGGAGGTTGAACTGCCTTGCCTGTCTTGCCAGTTGTCTAGAAAGCACAGCTTTTCACATGATCTGCTGATGCCGGTGTTGGCTGTAGTCCATCGTGGAAGACACTGTGACACTGTGCCTTCGCAACTGTCTGTCGGAGCATGGCGACAAGCCGCTACTAGTAGCTACTAACTTCACTCTACTTTCCCTGGGTTTCAATAGGGAAGAGGCGAATTCGGAGCAGTTTGCTCTCGATGCCATGGTCACTCCGCCCACGGCCGAAGACCTTGAGGCCCAGCCTGGACAGCTCAGGCGCATCGGGGCCGGAGTCGGTCTCCTCGTGCATGGCTTGATCTTCGAGTTCGAGAATGGCATCCGGAAGGGGTGCCTGTTGGATGATGACTGCACGAAGATGGACATCTGTGATGATGAAGTGTGCAAGAAGCGAAGGGTCAGGTGGCAGTCAGTCGAAGCAGGTGATTCCATATCAAGAGTTTGTGGCTATGGCTCCATCCCAATTAAGACGAAAATGTACCTCTGCCACAGCGTCACATTTACAACTCGCTTAGGGAGGACGATCTCCTTTGCACCGAAGATGTCGATGAAGAAGGGGCAGGCCTTCCCTGCCGACAAAACCGCCTTCCAAGCCGACTCCGACTTCGAGATCTGCAGGCTGATCTTCTCAGAAGGCCGCGTCATCGGGGCCCTGGAGAGGCCACTTTCCCCTTCTTTCGAGGAGATCTGGGTTCAGAGGGAGGAACGGGGCCCTCTCGAGTTGGAGTGCCCGGACCTTCCGCGTAAAGACAACATCATGATCCCTCCAGGCAGCTGGGCAGAGAAGAAGGGCTTACGCAGAGGTGACAAGCTCGTGCGCATCAACGGCGTGAGGACTTACCAGATGCGCTCCCCAGAGGAGCTCCAGACTGCACTCAGCGCACGGCCTCTGCAGCTCATCTTTGTGAAGATGGTGGGCCATAAGGCCACGTCGACAGAGGAACTGCAGCGGGTTAAGCTGGTTGAAGGATCAGCATCCCTGGACACCTGTGCAGATGCCCTTCTGAATGAAGGGAATGCAGCTCCCCCGCAAGCCAGCGATACCGAAATGCAGCCACAGGCCCGGGCCAAGGCAGCGCCCAAGAGAAATCGCTGGCAACGAGGAGTGGACCCCCTCCGGCAGCCTATTCCGCATCACAGGCCGGCGGCCGAACCTGCAGCAGTCGAGGCGATGCCAAAAGCGGAGCGGAAGCCAGCCCCGGATTTCGACCCTGCATCGCATGGTGGCCCCTACGAGTGGAATCTGGCCGATGTAGCCGGGCCTGATTCGCCAGACCGGGTGTTGGCCTGGGGAGCCAATGCCAGGTATCAGCTGCCACAGCCGCCGAGTTCTCCAGCATGCACTCCGGACGTGGATCGTTTTCTAAAGAGCTTCTTCGAGACACGGAAAGGTCCAGACGGGAAGTCCCTCGAATCCTTGCTTGGGGAACCTGCAGCTGGGCTGCAGTTACGGGTTTTGGCGTGGTTCAGGTTTGCATGTCCGCCTGGACCGCTCCTTTCGAGGCCCCGTACAACGACGGTTGGTGGCGCATCGCGTGGATTCCGATGGAGGACTCGCACCGCGAATCGCTGCGCCAGGGCGGCTGGCAGCGAGGCTGGCACGGCTGCAAGATGGAGGCCTGACATCTCTCCAGATGACACGAGTCAGTAGTTGGAATGTGTCAATACAGAGAGGAAGGGGTCGGGGGAGGCGGCTACAGAAGCAACAGCAAGGAAAGCACTGGAGCAGCAAAGACAAGTGCCCCCGCTACCACCACCACCACCACCACCAACCACATCATCGACCGGGTTCCGAGAACACATTCAGGGCTATTGTGACTTTGTGGACACCGACAAGCACTCCGGATTGTCCTGCATACTATGCCATGACGTGGGATTTGTGCATTCCCGTAAACTCCAAAAAACCTTCATAAAAACCTTGCCCAGGCGCTCTACTCCATCATATACCATGGGGAGCTCTTCCCGAGCAACGACGAGTCGAAAGGCAGCTCGATTGAAAAAGGGTCATCGGCGATTGGTGCTGGCATCAGTCGCATAATTTGCCACTCCTGCGAAGATGGCAACATTGCCTGTTACTAAGAGGATTGTCATCGTTATCGCCATCGTCCTTATCATAATCATTGTGGGTGTTGCTCCTGGCACCGCCATTTTAACATCACCATCGTCACATCATCATCATTCCCACTCTCTGCTGCCACTGTCATGATCACATTGTGTGTTGCATTGCATTATGCTATCTTATGAAGTTGCGCCATAGTGTTCTATAGCTTGCTACACTCGGCTCTGTTCTACTTGGTTAACATGTTATTTCCCCTTATCTTGCTGCAAATATCATTTTTAAGACGTTTCGCCATCTGGTAGTGATGGCATTGTTCCAGATTGTACACAGCATTCCACTGTTCTACTCAGGGTGTATGTACATTTCCAACAACCTGGCAAAACTCTGCATAGAAAACGACTATGTTAGAATTCCCCAATGCTGGCTTCGACTTCCTCATCTTGCCGCAAAACACCCTGCCAATTCCAATTGAGCCCCTCGTTTGATCCGTGCAAGTTTGTTTCAAATGGCACCATGCGATCTGGAAACATGCTGTGAATCCTGTGCAGTCATCGTGTTTGCGTTCAAACGCCGGGCGCGGGGGGAAGGGGGGGGTGGCGGCCCCGCCCATCGCCTTGTCTGAGCTGTGCCTAGAAGAGCATGCCATCATGAGGCATGCTGTGAATCCTCTCCAGAAGCCTTCACACAATCATCATGTTTGCTCTTAAGGTGCATCGCTATTGCAGTCCGTCCGAGCCTGAAGAATGCCATCAAGAAGAAAAGCTGTGGAGCCTTCTGATAACTACAATGCACATTGCACATGAGGTTTTTTTGTATAAAGCCCACTGCTTCAACCAAAGTTCCCTTGTGCTGCGTTCAATCGCTATGAGGAGGAAGGGACGGAAACCAGAATATGTGTTTTGCACACTTATCGTGTGGAACACATGGAAATGCACAGAACGTCCTCATAAAAAGGCATAACACTCGAAAAGCGGGCCTTTGCTGGAGCCCCTGCAAGACTGCAAGACCCTTTACAAAGGTCCCTTTCAACAGCGTGTACAGTTTTGTATTCATGCTACACTTAAGCAACCCCTTTGGATCCCTTATTAAATAGACCTTGTCCGAAGTCGCATGAAAGCCGCCCAGAACCCTTACATACGTCTTCTACATTCTTTTACAGCTCTCGGGCTTGCAGAAGCAACGAAACAACTTAATGACGTTCTCATAATGAATACTGCCATACTCCATAGAGACTCTATGGTAAATCCTTTGACAAGCCGGGCTTGCCTACCGCCGTGAGTGAGGGTGCGAGCATCCGGCCGTGGGGCAAAGAAGCAACAGCCTCCCTTGTCGGGCATTTCTAGACGATTTCAATCGCGATGCAGCATGCCAGCTGGTGTACTGCATCGGTTCTACAAAATTCACCGCCTGGACGGTGTTGTTGTTTTGCTCCGTGCCCGCCCCGAAGCTCACTCACCCACTCGCTCACTCACGGCTGCGGGCTTGGCAGCTCGGCGAGACAACAACAAGGACGGTTGGTGTGACGGAACCGGGTCTAAAATCGAATCAGACCCGGAGTGCAAGGGAAGAGACAAGCACTTCTTTTGACAACAAAAAGTTCTCACACCTGCGCAGCCCTTTGGGACCTGTTGCAGACCCGACAAGACCATTCAAAGAACCGCACAAGGATCAGACTCGGAGAGCACCCCAACACTGTGAAATATGTGGCTTTGCCAGGACTGCAGAGCCTTCTGGCCGTGGCCAAAATGCGTACACGACATCGACGGGATTTCCATCCCGAATATTAGTGTGTGCACAGCCCCAGAAACCGCAAGATTTAGGAACTGGGGGAGCAGTTTTTTTCAGGACTTCGGTGCCGCTCCTTTGAAATCAACAGCTGGCCGCTGATTAGACTTCTAGGCTGTGGTTGCCGTTGTTACAACTTTGCCACGATGAAAGGTTTACGGGCTGACAGGCTCGCGGTCGAAAATAGGCCATAGCTTCAACTAGCACATGGCTCCGCTCGTGGATAAACATATTTGCGAAGCAAGGGCAGGCGCCAGACTGACCTAGACAGTTTTCCTACTTCCTCGAATCCTGTCTCCGGCTTTGGACCTAGTTCAGTGCAGCCGTGTCTGAAAGGATTTTCAGGCCGGGGTGCATGCATGATCTTGCATGTATTTGGATACATTGACATGTGAATTTGTTTGTTACGACTATGCATGAATGTCTAGATAGGCGTGTATACACTTCTAAAATCTAGATCTCTCTATCTCTCTCCCCATGTCCATCTCCATCTCCATCTCTAAATCTCTCTATCTCTCTATCTATCTCTCTATCTATGTCTCTCTCCCTATCTATCTCTCTCGCTCTCTATATGCATGCATGATGTGAGGGAGGTTTAGCCGTGAGCAAGACCAAGGCACAGCTCCATTCTGTGTAACCTCTGTTAAGTACCACTGATAGTAACAAATCATCAAGCTTGGAAGGAATGAGGAACTGAGATGGCCCTAGACAGCAAAGACAAGGGTCGCGAAAGCCCGGACGCCCAGGTGACCGAATGCTGGCCGGCTGTCCTGGGGTCTACTTGCACCGGGACAGTTTGCACCACAAGGCGGGGAGAGTAATCCTGCTTTGCTTCACTCCGTGGGCGTCTCTCCTGTCTCCTTTGATTGAGTGTCTCTTCCTTCACTCGCTCTGGCTGTCTGGCTCGCTCTCGATCTCGCTCTCGCTGTCGCTTTCTCCACATGCGTATAAACTTTTTTGTATTTGATATGTTCATGTATACTTATGTATACTTATGTATACTTATGTATACGTTATGTATACACACACGTATACACTTCAACGTGTGTGTGTGTGTGTGTGTACATCCCGGCAGACATATGCACATACATAGGTGTGCCCGACGTGAATCTATGCAGACGTACATCCAGACGAGTCAGCACCGGCGGTAGCACCAGTGGTGGTGCTGGCCTGTCGTCGTCGGCGACGGCATCATCGTCAGAGTTGTAGTCGCAGTCGTAGTCGCAGTTGTAGTCGTAGTCGCAGTCGGTCGGAGCCGGAGTTTGCAGTCCGAGTGTAGGTGCAGTAGTAGTCGTCGTCGTAGTCAGATATGTGCATTCATGTGTACGTACAGACATGCAGACATACATGCATGCATGCATACATTCTTTCATGCATACATACATGCACACGTGCGCGCACACACACACACATGTGTAAGAACACATACATACATATATAATGCATGCATACATAATGCATACATATATACATACATACATACATATACTTTGTTTATGTATATACGCACACATATGTATATGTTTGTGTATCTGTGTCTCTATGTGTATGTGTATGTGTATGTGTATGTGTATGTGTATGTGTATGTGTATGTGTGTGTATATGTATGTCTCTGTGTCTGTGTCTGTGTATATGCATATGTATACATATATATATATATATATGCATATGCATATGCATATGTATATGTGTTTGTATACTCATATGTATATGTAAGTTTATGTACATGTACGTATATACATATACATATATGAATTTACACAAGAATGTTTACACTTGTTCATACTTGCATACATGCCCCATCTACACAAAGGAATGCTGCATCATTGCAACAGTGTGCACACGTATCCTGCTCATGTACGTATATAGTGTGGAGTTTTCGGTTTGCCTTTCACACGGGTTTCACGTGTGTAAGTTCGCAGCACTCGAAAGCTCGGCAGATCGGCATATGCAAAGAGATGCCGCAGGCAGACTGTCTGGTAAAGTGCTTTGGCTTGTTGCCGAGGTGGAGAACTACATGCGGTGGATTCCGATGTGTGGGGACGGCCTCTTCTGGGCGGCAAAGTGGGAGGTGGTGTATGCTTCCTGGGGGAGCGTGAAGCGTGGGAAGAGGACCGACCAAGTCATACAAAGTGCGGAGTCGGTGGAGCTGGCAGCCCTCTGGCTTTCGGTGCGATCCGCGAGCATGCTGCCGGAAGGGACCCCTGTGCAGGCCAAATGGTCCCCAGAGCGCGAGGCCAACCCACGCTTGACCCAGTCCCGGCGACGCAGCAGCGCTCTGATGGCCTTGGAGGACGTCGCTAGGAACGAGCCGGCCCCGAAAGGGGGACTCCTGGCGCTAGAAGACTGGGCAGCGGCCCCAGCCCCGAAGGAGCAACAGGCTCCTTCCAACCTTCATCTTTGGCCCACCCTGGGTGAAGCGAAGTCCATCGACAAGGATGCAGCCACCGCGAAGCGGCTGGCGCGCACGTCTCAAGCTCAGAGTTCCCGCACGCCGTCGAGCTCTGCTGGCTCTTCGCCGGTGGTTGGCCCAAGTGGCCCACCGGACATTCACAGTGTCCCAACACGGCGGTGGGACAGAAAGCACTAGGTTTGACCGCTGGAGTTTCAGGATCCTTTGGGACCGAGAGAGGCCGCAGCTTTGTCGCAAGATGCCCGTCGCTTGTGGACCAAGATCGGAGTGCTCCAAAACCCAGAAGCCCGGGCCCCGAACGATCCGAAAACTTCAGATGCTGGATGCTGGAGGTCGCAGGGCTGCGGCCCTGCTTTTCGGCCTGTCGCTTTCCCATGGCAGGCAACATCCTCGGTTTCAGTTCTTTTTGGGGGAAAGCCTGTGGCAACGTGTCCGGATTCGTTTGGGAGTGTGGGGCATTTGGGGCTACAAGGTGGCTGTTTTCGGCGATTTTGGATGGCTCAGGGTGCAGTTGGGGTGGTTGGCTTACGACTTGACTCGGGCTTTTGGGGCTCGAGCTGATTATAAGCTTGGTAGATGGAAGGACTATGAGGGAGCGCTTTAAGGTGAAGCCCAAAGGAAAGTTGCCTGGGAGCCTGTCAAGCAAGAGACGCATCTCAGGCCGGGACGAAGGCTGGTGTCAGCAGCAGCGCCGTGAGCTGCATCTCGGCTTCAGCTGTTTTTGGGAGGGATCTAAGGAGGTCAGCATTCAGGGCTTAGGGTTTGGGTTATGGGCTCTGCGGGTCATGGTCTGTGGGTCATGGACTTTGGGTTTAAGGACTATGACTCAGAGGATTCGTGATTCGGAGAGTTCGTGCGTAACTTACAGTTGGGGGTTTTGCCATAAGAGGTGCTCCTGTCGAAATCTTTGCGGCCCCCAGTGACCTTAGACGCAGTACTCGGTCTGGCAACCGCGCTTGCTTACTAAGTTTCCCGCATCGACAGAGTCTAAACTTCAGGCTTTCGAGTTCACATCCATGGCCTTGATGGATTTAGCTTGCGTTTTAGGGTTTGGGGCTGAGGGCTCCGTTTGTTTGAAGTTCACATGTTCTCTGGAGGGGCGGAGGTTTGGTTTGGGGTCAGAGTCTTTTCGGACGGAAACCTCTGAGCTGGGCCCCGAGACTCCAAAACCCAACCCTTGTCTCCTAATGGCCTCAGCCTCCAAACTCGAAGCCCTGAACTCCGCACCCAGGGCCCCTCGAAGCAGCCGTGCTACTCTAAAGTACTTGACGCCAAGCTTGGGACCCGTAGAACAAAAGGGAGACCCCGAACCGTAACCCTAAAGGAACCCTTAAAGGAACCCCCTTTTTTTCAAAGGAACCCCTCAAGGAAAGAGCCTCATGCCCCCTCTCTGGAGGCTTCAGGAGCTGCGGAAGGCACACCATGGTTTTCTTCGCTGGAGGAATGGGGCTGTCTTGGGCTTTATGTAGGGCTGTGTAGGACTTCATAGACCGCGTAAGCAGGTCATTATTCGCGTTTTGGTGGGGGGCTGAGTATGTTTGGCCCAGACCCAGGTGTTTATGGGTCCAGGGGTTGAAGGTTCTGGGGCTCAGGGTCCGGCCTTCGGGGTTTAGGGTTTCGGCTTGTGCAGTTCAGAAGCTTGGGGAAGCAAGGTTTACCGGCGTCGGATCCGTTTGAAGGCTAAGGGTTTACGAGGAACACGGCCGCAGTGTCTGAGACAAAACGCTCAACTTCTGAACCTCGGGCAGCGAAAAGAGTTCCCGAAAGGTGCGCTTCGGTTGGGTTCCCGAGACGGGCGGGCCTTTTCATGCTGGGCAGCGGCGACTTCGCACGAGGAACTAAGTTCTCCGACGGCCTTTGTTCAGGTGGTGCAGATGCAGCGCTCCCACAAGAATTTGGGAACCCGCTGGGTTCGGACCTTAGGCCTTCTGGTCAAGCCCTGAGCTGTCTAAGCCCTCCTGGAATCATAGGCTCAGGCTCCTCCACCATTACCCTGCAGTGATTCAGAGTCAGAACCTTGTGCAACTCGAATCTCCAGGCGACCAGTCTAGAGATCCATGACCGGACAAGGCCCCGAAACCCAAACACGAGAGAACGAGGTAGGTTCCTTCACTCTTTGAATGAGAAAAAGACAGAATCAGTAAATGGTGAGGGTAAACAGAATCTCTACAGGCTTTTCTTTTTCGCTTCGTCTTCAAGCTCGGAGCTTCGGTTGCTCTGACGCTCGTTAAGCGCAGCCTGGAAATCCATTTAGCTCAGGGACGCAGGCTGGTTGATAGCAAGCCCATGAAGCCTACGGCAAGCATGGAATACTTCGGGTTTTGGTTTCCGGAGCCCGAAACCCTGAGCTGAATGACTTAACCCTAAAGTCAGCAGCACTGGACACCTGACCACCAAAACAAGAAAAGGGCGCTGCACCGTGAGGTCACGAGCCCACACCTGCTGCGCTTCTTAGAGGTCTCACAGGGGTGTCAGGGTCTCTGTGGATGAGGCTCAATTTGTGGAGTTACTGGTGGAAGTTCGCTAGTTTCATCCAATAGTAGATGGTGGATGGCTTGGAAGTTGCGGGAGCGGACTAAGTTGTTCATCTTCTCCGCAGGCTTGCAGCGTGTTTGTATCAGAGCGGTTGACCAGGTCAAACATTGACAGTCTAATCTACGTTTGTTTGTATTCGCTGCCAGTTGAGAATGATGAGAGTTCCCTTCCATTTTCAATCAGCTACATGTATGCCTCAAGGCGGATTTGCATTTAGGAGAAGTCTTATTTCTCTTTTCGAGTTCCTCTTTCCTCTCTCTAGCCCTTTCCTCTCTCTGCTGTAGAGCGTTCTCTCTCGCGCTCTCTCTTTCTTTCTCTCTCTCTCTCTCTCTCGTGCCTGTCCTTGTCTGCATCCGTCTCTCTTTTCAATTCCTGGGGGTTTTGCGTACATCGTTGCCTTGCCTTGCATACTCTCTTCCGATATATATATATACACACACATATACATACATATGTGTAAGGTATTTGATGTACATGTTTGGTCGTGCTCGTAACTGTGTACCTACAACGTATCGTCAAAATATGAAAATGTATATGTGTATATAGCTTTAAACTTACACATAGCTGTCTGTACCTAGGTTCAATTTGGCAATACCTGGCATGTCATGTGTTTGGCTGGTCAGGTTCTGTTGCATGTGTGTGTGTACTTATGTGTGTATATATATATATATATCTGTGTATATACACATCACAGGGCTTCTACATATATACACATATATATATATATATATGTACACACATCGTATATATGTCTAGATACACACACATATATATATATATATATATATATGTATATGTATGTATATATATATATATATATGTATATATACACATGTATCAGTGACGGCGCCTGTGTAGCTGTTGCGATGGGTATTCTGGCTCTTCTTCCTGTGGAGGCCGGCCTCCGGATCCGGGCCGAGTTGGACATGGAGGGGCACGTGATTTTCGATGATGAGGACGGCTGGTTCTGGCTGAGGGTTTCACAGTTCGGGTGAAGGGTTCGGTGCTCGGGATCTTTGAGACTTATCACGGAAGAAGCTCTTCTCTCGAGAAACGTGGGTGTGTGTTGGGTTGAGGGCTCGGTTGGAAGATCCTGGACCTGAGAGGCCTCGGACACAGCGTGCAGCGCCAAACGAAAAGCAAGGTTCTTAGGCAGCGGCAGCTCAGCAGAAACAGCCAGTGAGATCCAAAAGATTGCGCTTCCTGGAAGGAGGATGGCAAGGGCGAGGAGACCAACAAAGTCCTCGAGCCAGAGGCTTACGCTGAGGAGAAGTCAGTGTTAAAGATTACTGACTCTACGCACTATTCCTCCTCCTCCTCCTCCTCCTCCTCCTCCTCCCCTTACCTCAAAACCCTGGGCCACGAGAGAGACCCTCCTCCTTTGCCAAGGCTGCGGAAGAACCTTTCCGATTGGGCCGGAACCCTAGCAGGTGACGCCAGTGCCCAGCCCTAAATAAGTCCCAAAGCACCGAGGCCGTTCCGAAGCTTTAGCATCTTATATCCTCATTCTGAGCACCTTCTGCCCTGAGATCCCAGCTCAAAGCATCTTTGTCCGGCAGCTGTTCGGGACAGTCGGAATTTGTGGCCGAGGTTTCATTTTCAGGCTCCAAGCCAGGAAACGATGAGCTTAAACTCGGGGCCCGAAACCCTGCAGATCCTTGGGCCTGTATCGAGCGAGTAAATTAAACTGTTTAAACGCGAAAGGGCTTGAGCCCTGAACGCCACAAGCCCCAAGCGTGGATCCTGGACCCAGAAGAGCTTGAACCCCAAGACCCAAACCCCAAAACTTGAAAACCCAGACTCTAGAGGCCAGCTCCCCGTCCCACACACCTCACCCAGGAGCGCACGCTGGAAGCCAAGACACCTCTGGAGCGACGAACTGAGCTAGAAACTTCTGAGATGCTACGGTATAGTGTCTTCGTGTCTGAGGACACCCCAAACCCTGAACCGTATAGTCTCTTGGGGTCTGAGGGTGTTAGGGTTTGGGTTGTCCAGGTTCACGGTCACCGGGTGTTCCAACAGGTCGTTTTGGGTTTGGGAGATGGGATGGGGGACGTTGGGTTCATGGTCTCGGGCTTAGGATTTCGGGGTTTGGGTTCGGAGTCTAGGGTTGAACTAGACCTGAAAGGACCCAGCACCCGTTGTTGTGCGGGTCGCGACGGGGACTTGGGAGGCTCTGACAGGGTCCTAGAAAGCTTAGTGCGCGGCTTCTATGCTTTGGGGCACCTGAAGCAGTGGGCAGTCTTGAGTTCACCTCACGTCCCAACGGTGGCGGAACGGGATGATGAGCCACTGCTGGCGGTATTCGTTTGCCGTTTCCGGTTTGCCGCCATCCTGTTAGACCTGCTAGGCCGTTATCTTTTTCTGCCATGCATCCACGCACAGCGGCCCAGGTACAAGTTCAGCGGCATGCCAATGCATTTCAACTACCTGGACGCCGACGAGATCGCAGACAGCAGGAGCCTCAGACCTCGGCGACCCCGCGTGCGCACCTTGCTGTGGCAACAAGTGGCCAACTGAGAAGCACCCAGTAATCGGGCCATTCGTCTCAAGAAGCCCGATGCTGAATTTGTCCCAGCAGAGGCCAACTGAACACCGAATCACCAGACCCGCAAAAACACAACCTCGAATCCTCGAGATCCCTCTACTTGCGGGCTGATTTCACATCCAGTGCATTCGACCCTGCACTCTACACCCCCAGCCGCCTGCCCAGAAGTCATGGACCTTTGTCCGTTTCTTCTCACCCGCACCGCGCTCAGCAGAGTTTAGGTTCTTTTGGAGCCATGGTGGTTAGGATTGAGGGTTTCAGGGGTTTGCCGGTGTGGGATATTTGCGGATCGGTTTTTTGGGGTTGTCGAGGAAGGGTTTATGAGGGGCTAAGTGGTTCTTCTCTGAATCCCATCTATGCTTGTGCCAGTGCTGCAGTACAGAAATTTCTAGTTCATGAGCCTAAGCGCAAGGGCTGGTGGTACAGAAGCCGTAGAGCCGTTCGATCGTGTTGTCGTAATTACATGTTTGTCGACTTTTTTAAGGATTCAATTGAAAACTGTTGTCTTGAGTTGCCACTTCGTCAGGTTGGTTGTTGCAGACGTACTTAACACCTCCAGAAGGCATTATAAGTGTCTCGTTGGTGTCTTTGCAGGCAAGCCTACCAGCTCTTGTTTGCGATTGGAAGGGTGTTTTGCAGCTGAAGAAGTCAGAGGGGTTTGACTTGGTGCCACGAGATGCCTTCGTGTTGAAGGCATATCAGGAATCGGCGGCCAAGGATACAACTCGCTCGAGCGCGGCATGCATCCGCCTTTGTGGGATTTAGGGGTTCGGGTTCAGGGTTTAGCGTTGGCGGTGCAGCAGGCTCAGCGGAAGGTCTCCCGGATGTTCGGTCCAATTCCCGCGACTATGAGCATGTTTGCATCTTTGGGAAAGTGCGCCTTCAGGGGTTCGAGTTAGGCTTCAGGGGCTTTGGGTTTCGGGTACCCAATTGAGCTGCCTTCCTGCTGATCTGAACCTCGTCTCAGGCGACAAGAGTGCCCAATTTGCCGTGGCTTGCCACCTTGTGCCCTTGCCTGGGGAGGTGCCAGGGGTGTTTACGGCACGCGGATCGTCGTTCTCCGGTCAAGTAGTTCTTTGGCATTTCAGGCTCTTATTTTGTCCGGAACTTACGGATAGGAGGGAAGTCTGAAGGACGTTCATTTTGCATCTGGGTCCAAAATGTCAGATTGAGGCATAGGGCCGGGGTGCAGGTCTCCATGTTATAGTAGACGATACACTCATCTTATCTTCTGGTTGTATGTTCTCAAAGCCGGACACTCCAAATTCCAAGCTCTATTTATCCAGTGCCGTTTTCCTGAACTCCGTCCGCAGCACTAAAGTCACTGAAGCCAATGCTTCCTGTGCAGGTCGTCTCCATCTACATCTATGCGTGTGAGTTGCACAACTTGGGACAGATGCAGCTCAAAGAGGCAACGGGCTTCAGAGGTTTAGGCTGAGATCTCCTCAGGTTTATTTTGTTATGCCCTTCTTACATCGCAACTCCACCGGATGCTTGAACACATTCCTTCGACCCAGGGTCCGTTCATCTTGTGTTCTGAACACCAAGCTTGCGAGTCGTCTACAAGCTGAGTTACTTCTCGGCGCCCACTAAGAGTGACGAAGAAATAGGATCGATCGGCCTCTCGTTTGACGGTGCAGTGGTTCTGGTCGCAGTGGTGATGACATGCGCGAGTGGTGTGTCGAGCCACTAGCACAAGGGCAGCTTAGAAAGACGAACATTCCATTCAGACTGCCGGCTGAACACCGTCTGAGCTTTGGCGGTGACGACGAAGTTGGATCGATAGGCCTGCAGGAGACCGTGGCCAATGTTCTACAGGCATGTTTTGCGGCATTCGTTGTGATCCTGTCACAAGTAGTTGGACTTTCGATGCAGCCTTGTCGTGAGATCGGGAAGGTGGAACACCTACCAGCCGGAGTCGATCACAACAGGTCAGGTGTATGACGAACAAGTGGCCTGAAGGAAGCGTGGCCGGCTCTTGTTCCGATGCGTGATGTCTCAGTTGCGTTCTCGTCGATGTTGTAGCATTCTAGCGAGGCTGTGAATAGCCTGTGTTGGCCCAGGACCGGACTTGCAAGGCTTTCCGTATCTACTCAAAGTCATGAGCCTTCTGATGATGTTCAATAGCGCTGAAAATTGTCCAAGCCGCGGCGTTGACGACGAAGTTGGATCGATAGGCCTGAAGGAGACCGTGACCAATGTTCTACAGGCATGTTTTGCGGCATTCGTTGTAATCCTGTCATGAGATCGGGAAGGTGGAACACCGACCAGCCCGAACCGGTCAGAACAGGTGTCCTGAGGATGTCCCATCTACAAGCTGAATATTTGCTGAGCGTCCACAGTGACGAACAAGTAGTCTGAAGGAATCGTGGCCGGCTCTTGTTCCGATGCGTGATGTCTCAGGCGTGTTGTCGTCGATGTTCTAGCATTCTAGTGAGGCTATGAATAGCCTGTGTTGGCGCAGGGCCAGACTTGCACGGCTTTCCGTATCTACTCAAAGTCATGAGCCTTCTGATGATGTTCAATAACGCTGAAAATTGTCCAAGCCGCGGCGTTGACGACGAAGTTGGATCGATAGGCCTGAAGGAGACCGTGCCCAATGTTCCACAGGCATGTTTTGCGGCATTCGTTGTGATCCTGTCACAAGTAGTTGGACTTTCGGTGCAGCCTTGTCGTGAGATCGGGAAGGTGGAACCGACCAGCCCGAACCGGTCAGAACAGGTATCCTGAGGATGTCCCATCTACAAGCTGAATATTTGCTGAGCGTCCACAGTGACGAACAAGTAGTCTGAAGGAATCGTGGCCGGCTCTTGTTCCGATGCGTGATGTCTCAGGCGTGTTGTCGTCGATGTTGTAGCATTCTAGCGAGGCTGTGAATAGCCTGTGTTGACCCAGGACCGAACTTGCAAGGCTTTCCGTATCTACTCAAAGTCATGAGCCTTCTGATGATGTTCAATAACGCTGAAAATTGTCCAAGCCGCGGCGTTGACGACGAAGTTGGATCGATAGGCCTGAAGGAGACCGTGACCAATGTTCTACAGGCATGTTTTGCGGCATTCGTTGTATTCCTGTCATGAGATCGGGAAGGTGGAACACCGACCAGCCCGAACCGGTCAGAACAGGTGTCCTGAGGATGTCCCATCTACAAGCTGAATATTTGCCGAGCGTCCACAGTGACGAACAAGTAGTCTGAAGGAATCGTGGCCGGCTCTTGTTCCGATGCGTGATGTCTCAGGCGTGTTGTCGTCGATGTTCTAGCATTCTAGTGAGGCTATGAATAGCCTGTGTTGGCGCAGGACCAGACTTGCACGGTTTTGAGTATCTACTCAAAGTCATGAGCCTTCTGATGATGTTCAATAACGCTGAAAATTGTCCAAGCCGCGGCATTGACGACGAAGTTGGATCGATAGGCCTGAAGGAGACCGTGACCAATGTTCTACAGGCATGTTTTGCGGCATTCGTTGTAATCCTGTCATGAGATCGGGAAGGTTCCACCGACCAGCCCGAACCGGTCAGAACAGGTGTCCTGAGGATGTCCCATCTACAAGCTGAATATTTGCTGAGCGTCCACAGTGACGAACGAATGGCCTGATGGAATCGTGGCCGGCTCTTGTTCCGATGCGTGATGTCTCACACGTGTTGTCGTCGATGTTCTAACATTCTAATAAGGGCTATGAATAGCCTGTGTTGGCGCAGGACCAGACTTGCACGGTTTTGAGTATCTACTCAAAGTCATGAGCCTTCTGATGATGTTCAATAACGCTGAAAATAGTCCAAGCCGCGGCATTGACGACGAAGTTGGATCGATAGGCCTGAAGGAGACCGTGGCCAATGTTCCACAGGCATGTTTTGCGGCATTCGTTGTGATCCTGTCAGAAGTATCTGGACTTTCGGTGCAGCCTTGTCGTCAGATCGGGAAGGTGGAACACCGACCAGCCCGAACCGGTCAGAACAGGTGTCCTGAGGATGTCCCATCTACAATCTGATCGTTTTCTGAGTGTGTTGTCCTTTGACGTGTTGTCGTCGCTGTTCTGGCGAGGCGGCTTGCAGGGCGTTAAGCCATGAGCCTTCTGATGATGTTCAATAACGCTGAAAATTGTCCAAGTTTCGGCGTTGACGACGAAGTTGGATCGATAGGCCTGAAGGATACCGTGGCTCAATGTTCCCTATGCATGTTGTTCCGTAAAACATAGTTGGATCCTTCGTCAGTAGTGTGTGTATGCGATGTCGCATGTAAACTGGACCTCCAAGCTCTGGCGCGATATTTCCAGCGAGCTGAGAGGAGCGTGAAAAGATGGCTGCGCCGAAGGACGACCAAGGCGCCGCCAACTTATCCTGGCCAAGTCAGCTAAGGAGAGTACTTCTGTTCCATCCCTTTGCTACTTCTGTAACACGTTCGCAGGATAGCGGACCGATCGGCCGATAGATGCACGACCAGATCATGTGTTGGATTCACGGGAGCCATCGGTGTGGCTGTACAGATTGAGTTTGTCTATACAACCCTACGGGACTGGAGGTGCGAGTGCATACATACATATATACGTACTTACATACACACGTACATAGATGCGTACGTGCATACCTGCATACATGCAGGCATTCGTGAAGTACTCGAATCTTCAGAAGCGTCCTCGAAGCTCTGATCATACCACCCGACTTGGCGTTTTCATGCAGAAAGTTCCCTCTTTACCAGCACCACTCCCAGCCCTAGTCGATTACAGAGCCTCATAAAACCCACTAGTAGGCCCCAAACCCTGAGAGGTGTCACATCAGCAACGTTAGGATTGCAAGTTCCCCTTCCCTCCGATCTACGGACATGATTGGCCTAATGTATCGTAGCGAGCATCGGGAGTGCCAGTAAGAACTTCATTAGCTACGGAGTGCCAACACCAACAACGGCTCCCAGAAGCAATCGGACGCTCCAGCGTCACACACCAGGGCACCAGTTTGAGCGCACATAGATACATGGACGGGTTCGTGTTTTGGGAAAGTTGGGCCTTCAGGGGTCAGCTTTGCGGAATCTGGGGCTCCGGAGAAAGGCACGGTAGTCCGGGAGCTTCCCTGTAGTGCCAAAGTCCAACACCCCGCCAGCACCACACCGTGAGCCCTGAAACTGTCAAATCGAAGGCAAGCACTTTTAAAGTGTAAATCCCAAAGTTTGAATCACAGCAGGCATCACTGTGGCGCAGCTTTTGCGAAACTTGGGCCGAACTCGCAATTTGGAAGACGAGGAACCGAAAGACAAGGCGGGCCTCTGGGATTAGGGCCCAAACGAGGGAACAGGGTTCAGGGCCGAGTTTAGGGGTTTTAGAGTGAACGACTTCGGGCCAAAAGGGCTAGGATTTCACCGTCTAGGATACAGAGTTTGACTCCTTAAGTTTGAGAATTAGATGGTAGGCTTGAGTGTGTTTTTCTCTTGATTGAGGTTTCTGATTTAGTTTTGAAGGTTGGCTGTGTTCATTGGCAAGGAGTGTTTGTGGTTCGCTTACTTTATTGGGTTCCTCGAAATTTCACCGGAGAAAAGGCTGGTTTCCTTTTGAAAACGAGTTTCCTTGATATTTTTTAGAGAAATTGCGGGGGGTCAAGAGCCCAAAAGGCAAGCAACCTTTAAATCATTTACATGTTCCCAAGATATATCAGGCAAGTGACATCTTAAAGTCTAGGATTAGGGTGGAGGGAATTGCCCCCCCCTCGAGGTGGTGTGTCAAATGCAAGGTTCTCGTTTGTGCAGGGTCTGTTGCGGGCTGATGTGTTGAAGGTTCGATGCTTCATCGGCTGTAGGCCAGGACGAAAGTGACCGAACATCTGGCCAAAGAGTTCAGCACTCTCTGCAGGGAGGAGTCGAGTGGTTTCAGAACTGTTGGGTGGAAAGGGTTTTGAATATTGTTTTGAAGTTTTGGGGTCTCGTCGATCTACGGTTTGCAGACCAGAGGCGCTCACGTCGGACAGAGGATGAGGTTGCACAAAGATTGGAAGATTCTGCAAAGTGAACTAGCTCTCTTTGAGACCCTAGCCTGGCTGTCCCAGCCCTATGCTTGACATGATCCGGTGGAAGCTTGACACCCTTAACTCCATGCTGCAATCGGCAAGGCAGGTATCTCAGGCACTCTCTGTTGTGCAACCAAAACCATTTTCTGCGCAAAGTACCGTTCATCACTGATTGGTGGCTGACAGGGCACCACGCTGGTGAACATGATGCTGCAGGCAGGTGTCTTGGACTTTCAGCCTATTTGATCCTCGCTCATGCGACACGATGCATGCCACCCTGCACTTGGCCACCCCTCGCCCCTCCACTGCTCTGGTACCGCCAGGTACCGAGAGCCCAGAAACTCAAGCCCTGCATACCTTTGGGGTTCGCATAACGGAATTTTGGGTTGCTCCAAATCAGAGCTGTTGTGCCCGCAGGCATCGTGCTTCAGCGGCCTGAGGATACCACGAACACCGCCGAAACGTATTCCTAAGGCACAATATTTCTTTCACGATCTTGCGTGGCCACCTCTACTTGTTCATGTTTTTAGGGTTTAGGGTTTGGGAATCAAATTGTAATGTTTGACCTTGTATAATAGGGGTGGAAGCAAGAAGAGAGGTCAATTGTCCAACGCTTTGGAGTGGCATAGCAGAGCATACCTTCTTCACTGCAACTTTTCATGCCCTTCTATTAGGGTTCGGAGTTTAGGTTAACGCCGTCACTCCCCAGGTCTTCTCCGTTTGGGTTCTTGTGCCGCAGCCTTTTGCCCGTCTCCGGGAGCCATGCCGCTGAACTTCGGGCCCACTCTCGACGGCGATATCAAGGTGGGCCTTTGGGCGTAAGGTCTGGTCTTCGGTGTCGGGTTTACGGCTCAGGGCTTAGTGATGTTTGTTAAGGCTCTTTCAAGGTCCCTACGAAACTCCCTGAGTTTAGTTTCCTTGGAACAGGCAGGTTTGGTGCTGACGCCCCCACCAATCCCCGGGTGTTCCCCTGTGAGGAGGTTATAGCCATCGAGGCGGAATCGGTGCGGCAACCGCCGCGACCCTAATCCCAATACGCAATCTTCCAAAACTTGAAGCCCCAAACTCTGACCTTTTAACCAAACTCTGAAGTTATAGGCCCTGGAGCCCGCCCCAAAGTCCCTGAAAAGCCCGTTGACAGAACGCCATCCAGCAGCTGTCCGAGTCCTGAGATCGAAAACCCCGAGCCCTGCAGGCCCGTAACATCCAGAAGACAGCATAGCAATATAATACAATATAATATAGTATTTGACAACACAACATAACATAACACAATCTAAGATAATGTAGTATATTATTATGATGTATAAAGCAATAGAATAAGTAAAATGCAACATGATACACTATAATGCAATATAGAATTGGATGCTAAGCGTCGACCCCAAGCGGCAAGCCTGCAACCCTAAGCCTTGCACCGTAAACCTAGTGTCCAAGCCCTCGACAAACCCCAACAAACTCCACAGCCAGAATCCTTAGAAGCCTTATGGTACATTCCTTATTAGGGGTATTGCAGGATTTATATATCAGCAACAGTAAGGAAACTGAAGCCCCGAGAAGCCTTAAAAGCCCTGCGGGCTGGGGAGCCGCTAGGCCGTCCTCCTGGACGCGGACCGGGTGGCACATCGAGTCAAGGCCGCTGTTTGGTCGAGGTTGGTTGGTGAATTTCAGTAGAGGGGTTGGAGGGGTTGGAGGGTTTGGTCGTTCTTCGGTGCCGGGTAGTTTGGAAGGGCTTGGGCTGGTTTAGGGCTTGAGAGGTGTTAATGTTCAGGGCGTGGAGCTTGGAATTGAGGTTGTAGGGCATTGTAGGGTTAGAGCTTGAACATTTTGCTTTCACCCCTCGCATTAGCGACATTGGCTTTTGTAGTAGAATAGCTGTTTTTGTTTGCCCCACAGGTCACCGCAGCCTTCACCGTCACCCTCACCACCCATCCCACCGTTACAATGAAAGTGTGAAAAAAGTCATGATGGCGGCGGTAGAGTAGAGTACCCGCTAGAAGTAGTGAGAAAGTGATTCAAAGTGCCAAGCTATGGGAAGTGCAACTGCGGTCATGGTTCCAAGTGCATACCTAGTTGCAGGAGCTGGGTGAGGAGATCTCACGCGACTATGTCGACAAGGCCCGTTCAGTCTAGTGATAATATGTGCATGCGCGCATCTACGCGTGTATATATTTGTACAAGTAGCCAAGTATACGCATATAGACTTATCCCTCTATCTGTCGGTTTATCTCTGTCTATCTATCTGCGCATGCACCTATATGTAGACTGTTGTGTATTCATATTTTATCCTTAAGTTGTGTGCGTGACACCCTGAACTTCCATGACTGGCTTAGTCTTAAGTTGCTCCGTAACCAGTCTATTTGCCCAAGGCTCCTGTGCCCTGCTCTCTCCGGTTGTATTTCCTGAACTCCGCTGGATGGAATGGACATATCGGGATTGCGGAACCTGTGTTTATGTTTCAGTCCAACTCACCGGCAGCATGAAGGCTGGTCCTGGTGGACGTGCTGATGACAACGATGATGTCGTTGATGATGGAGGTGAGGATGACGATGATAATCTTGCTGCACGTATCGAAATGCAAGGGGTACTTTTTCTGGTGAACGGAAACATCCTTTACATGTCTCACACTGTCTCATACTGAAGTCGGAGAGGATTGAAGGAGCACTCGAGTCTGAGTTTCTTCATCCCGCGCTCGGAACCCACAGGCAATGCTGGGGTGCTGACTGAGGGGAGACGAAAAAACTATCGGACAACTAGAGCGACGCGGGTATGTAAGGACAGGGCTTCCGCGAGAGACGCCAACAAATCTGAACCCCCAAAAAGCTGACGAACATCAGACCCCTTTGCTGGTGGGCGTGCTGAATGGCGCCATGGTCTTCATGGCCGCGGCTTGGCGGAAGGAGCTCCGAGGATCCCGGGACTGGTGCTCTTGCGCTCTTGGCTCGGGGATGTCGGCAGAGAGAGCCCTTGGATTCGGTCTCGCCAGGTTCGGCGTAAGGGCTCTCAGAATGTTCCTTAAGGTTCTTTCGAGGCTTGATTTGTTGGACTACACAGTGTTGAAAGATTCGCGCTTGAATGACGACGCGGGGCTGCGCGGTGTAGGGTTGAACACGCATTTGTGCAAGAGCTTCACGGAGTTTGGGATCTGCAAGGTTGCAGTCTACATGCATGTCAAGTCGAACTCTCCGTTGCCATTTATAGAATGGCTCTCGTGCAGCCTGGTGTCAGCAAGCTCGTTGAAAATGATGTGTCCCACTGCAAGTTTCGGCTTCAGGGTGTGTTGCTGAAGGCAGCGAAGGGCCGGAAGACGCCTTCCCTTGAGTCAAAATGGATGCTCTAAGTCGTCGTGTGTTGGATGCGGTCTCACGGCTGCAGGTGCAGCTCTTGAAACGCTGTGAGTGAACCTGCGATGAAAAACCCTTTTAAGCTTCAGTCAAGGGCATTCTGATCTTTCGGTTGCGCATGGTTTTGCATTTTTTTTTGGGGGGGGGGGGGGGGGGGTGACAGGGTCTTGAGTTCGCCGACATGCCCAAATCTTGCTTGGGGTTTCCACGTTCGAAGCTTCAAGGATCTGATTCGCCAGATCAACGTCCCCATGGAGATTTGCTCTCTAGCCGTGCCTGGGCGAATTGGCGACGGTGGTCGGCGGGAATTCATAGGGGTCGAAGGTTGGCAACTTTTTTTGGTTTCAGGTCTTCGGCTTTTGGCTGAGGGTTCAGGGTTTGGGGGTTAAGTTTTGTTGTTTTCTTCATGTAGGGTCTAGGGCAGTCAAGGGTGAAAGGTTGAAGATTGACGGTTTCGGCGCTTGTGGCCCGAGACGGATCGTAAGATCGCCATCTGCGACACGAGGGTCCCAAGAACAAGAGGAAACCTTTGTAGGGCAGTGAAGCCGTTTGCACCAGACCATCAAAATCCTATACCTCCAGGGTCCTCCAGGTCTAGGACCGCAAACCCGCACCGCCGCAAACCCTCTACGCCAGACCCTAAACTTCGTCAACTCCGACTGCTGAACGAATCATCTCGCTGACAAGGTCAGTTCGTATGGCAAAAGCCCCGCGGCGCGAAGTATTATGATCTGAGATCTGGTTAGTTTAGGCGATAGGAACATCGGGGCCCGAGTATGTGCAAGTATCATTCAAGGTCTCTAGAGAGCCTGCCTGACACGAGTACGAGGTGTTCAGGTTTCAGGCACCGACTGTTTGCAGTTTCTGACTCAGTTCTGCTCTTTTGTGCCAAACTCGGGTCCTTTGCGGACCTCAGCTTAGCCTAGCACCTTGTAATATCTTCGTTTGAAGCCAATCCTCAACCTTTCAACCTCCGTCGAGGCCTCAGATCCGTTCCAGACGACCCTGAAGCCCAGAGGGGCCCTTACAGGGAAGCCGGGGATGCCGCTTTCAGCTTTCTTGACGTTGTTGTTTTTCTTGGAGCTTTCGCCACGTTTCAATAGTGCCGCAGTAGATGAATGGGTCTATTTCGGCTTCCTGGAGAACTCCTGGGTTTGTGATCGTAAGGTCCAAGGCATGAAACCCAAACTCCCAAAGTTCCAACCCAAGGTCCCAAACTGAACTGGCTGAAACCTTACAAAGCCCCCTGGAAGCCTCAGCCCTAACCCTGCTAGCAGTGGAAGCCGAAACACCGGAACCATTCAACCAGGATCTACTTCCGGTGACTTGAGCTTCCTCAAAGACGTGAACCAGGACGTGAAGGCAGCTGGAACTGGGCGGGTGACGGTGCTCTGAATTGGGTGGTGTGTTGGTGGAATCCTGCTTAAGACTTGGTGGAGGTTTGGCTGAGTGTTTCCATGTACCTCGTAAACCCCAGCCCGAAGCCCGGACTGTCGGCATCCAGCAGATACAATTGTCATAATGCCTCTGGCGGTAGTAATTTGGGCGAGAATACTTGGAGAGTGTATCTTGTTCAGATCGTGGAAGCACTGCTGGTCCCATGTTTGTTAAGCCGGAGCTGAAAGATCAGAGGTCTCTTCACCGAAATGCAGGACACCTTAGGACAACACGAGCTTCAGGCTTTAGGTAGTACGCAGTCGCATAGAGGTGAGATGGCTTTCAGGGTTTATGTGGGCTTTAAGCACTTTGGGCACACCTTTCTTGAAAAACGCCAATCCTTTTGTTTGCACACGCTTCCTTTTTTGACCCCCTCCACTTTTTTTCCGAGCGCTGGCAAGCGCAGGTGCCCGGCGACATTCTATTTCTGACCAAATC